TTCCCCGTGGTCACTGCCACGGTCGAGTAAACATCACCACCACACGCAAGCCAACCGGTCTACTTGTAATGTACAATGGTCTTCTCCCAACCACACTGCCCCGTGTTTGGACACCCACGCAGCCCACGGACTCTCTCTCCCGGTGCCGTGAATCCAGCGGTGAAGGGAGGAGTTCTAGCCCTCCACTGACCGCCCCCTGCGAGGGCCTGCAAGGTTTGTCCTTGCATCTGGGCGAGGCATTTCTCTGAGTGGCACGACTCGCTACCCTCATGACGTGGTTTCACAACCATCACGCGATGAGCTTCCTCAACCCTCCTTCGTTCCCTCGGTGATGTGATCTCGACCACCCCTCTTCTTCTTTGGTACGAATGTGAAGCTATATCGTGATCGCGGTAGATCATGGTCCGCCGAATGGCGAATCCACGTCAACACGCAATATATTGCAGGGGCCAGATCTTCTATGGCGTGCACGACTCAGTTTTGGTGGTGGCTACAGACAGCCCTCCCCTTCGGTCCCTTCAATCGGCCGTCGCCGTTGCCTCCCTCCCTGCCCCCCCTCCCTACCTTCGCCGACGCAGGCAAGTCGACGCAGGTGGGTTTCGTCATTTAGGTTGGATGGGTTCGATGCAGGTCTGCACGGCACGGAGACTGGCAGAGTCGCGGGTCGAGTCTCAAACGCGCCGAGAAAAGCTATATCCTGGCGACTGTGATAGCCTTCCTCAGGTCTATCCTAGATAACTCCGCACCTCGTCTCCCATGGGATACCCCGTAGTACGGCCTACTCCATCCTATAGACTGTAGATTCCATCCCCTCGGGGCGAACTCATCCCCCCCTCCCGTCATGATGATCATTGATGATCCTATGATTCTAGGAGTTGCAACGTGGTCCGCTTTTTGGGGGCATGTTCGGCAAATTACTCTTTTCAGGGATTGCTCGTCTGGTCGATCAACATGAGACGGCATCCGACTCCGACCTACTCCGTAATGGGTTTGCGTTTGCGTACAATGACATCGACCCCCATCAACATGATGTGCGATGTGATTTGGATATGCAATATGTGTTATCTAGGGTGCTATTCCATATGCGATATTGACTGCGAGTGGCGAGCTGTCCCATCGTATGTTTCGATTCGAGACTTCCAGAGGTCGTCATGTCCATCGGTTCTAGGGGGAGAAGTTATCTATGGTTTACAGGGAGTACCTTAGATTAGGCCAGCCTCGGACTCTACGGTCCGCGATAACGGGAATTTCCAACGTGAATATAACTCAGTCTAACGAGCTGTGGTAGGCCAAAGATAAACTTGATAACTTGTCCATAAGTTCATAAAGTTCCCCTCCGTAATGGTACAAGGGGAGGGGAGCCATGGAACGCGATGGCTGTTATCGCCCTTATTTTGGGCCTATCAGTCTCCCCGCACGATCGTCATTCCAAAGTCATCTCCAGATGAATTCTAATTTCTGATGGGAAAGGGGGGTTGGTTATGTGCCGCCGATAATGGAAGTATGTTTTGACCTGAGCTGGCCTTCGTTTGGGAATTTCTGAAGGAGAGGGAGGAGAGAGGGGGGAGTGGGAGGTCAGCTTAGGTAGACCACAAAGGTACCCCCCCTATCCTAGATTGGACTAGGGAGACCCTATATCTGCCACTTGATATAATAATGATCTCACTACTCCGTACCCTACGAGTACTCCGTTCCAGATGTATGTACGTATCTCATCCCATTCGTATTTTCTTTTTCCTCCAAGCGCTCCAGCCAGAGAGACCGGGGGAGGGATAACAGTGACACCATCGTCTCACCTTGGGGCCAAGGGGCTGAGCCAAACTAGCCCCAAAGAGGAGCATCATCGTGCAAACCATTGGAACTTTGTCGACGCTACCCCAAACCAGCTGACCAGGGCGTTTCCCCCGGATTCTGGTCCGAACGGGGACAATTGAAAGATAGCGTCGTCTTTATCCCACAATACCAACAATCATGCTCCACATTGGAGTAAATAAGAGAATTGGCTTTTCTGCCGTCCACCCCAAATCAAAATTATAGAGTAAATTCCGGCGTTTGATCAAACGATTGGCCCGGTTGGCCCCAATAAACACCCTCCACGAAAGCAATGACCCCTTCTTTTTTCTGATTACGCCCACACTTCCAGGGCTGAACTGCAGCCATCGTTTCCCATTTCTCACTTCTCATTTCCCATCAAGGTCTCGTGCCGCGTGCCTCTCATCGTTCCTGTTTTACTTTGACTTTAGAGGGGGCCCGGCACTTTACCTCGATCCGAATTGTACAATCTCCAGCATTGCATTGGACGATGTACGGAGTACAGTAGGACAAGGTACAGATCGACGGATGGTGCGACTCCCACGGACCAGCATGCCCAAGGGGGGGTTTCCTGGTCATAGCACCAGCACTGGCAGCACCGTAGCTCAGCTTTCCAGGGTCGTACGCAGGCGGCAGCGCAGGTCGCAGGTCGCAGGGTACAGGTTGCACTAAGCATGCCATGAGCCCAGCTTCTCGTAGGTCTGTTTTTCTCCGTGTGCGACATAGCCCTCCGCTATGCGGTCCCAACAGAAATCGAATCGTTCGTTGCCTGATGCCAGGGGAGCATTTTATGCGCAATGTTTCAAGTTGTTTAGTGGGTGGTTGGTCAAAGGAAGTAGATTCGAGCGACGAGAACAAGGTCAAGCACGGAGTGCAGTACTGTAGATATTTTTATTCTGGTATCAATTTACAGAATTATGCTCGCGATGCGACATTTCTATCCCTTGTCTCTTTCCATCAACTCAAACTGAATCAAGAGCAGTCCATCTATCCCCAATACTCCTCTCAACCTCCCTCGCCGTCCTCCCAACCATCCCTTTCCAAAACTCCGACGTCCCATCCGGGACTAACTCTTCCACCTCCAGCGAAATCAACGTACTAAACACCCAATCCTGGCACTTCCTCGATCCATCTCTCGGTGCAGGCTCAGACTTGATGACCTGGATCACCTGCAGTCGCTGCTGGGGAGTCAACTCAGCCAGCCTACACAATCCGAGGGCCTGCATGTCCACAATATCGGTATTGGACCTTGACTCGAACTCGTACCAAAGTCGGTACAGGTCAATCAGACGCACATGAAGCAGGTCTCCCGTTGTGTTTGGCGGCTGATGGATCATAAACCCCCAGTGGGAACGGTGGTTGGGATCCTCGCCGGAGCCGAAGACTTCTATCGATAATTGGTAAGCCATGGCTGCATTGCGTTAGCGATGGCTTCGTGCTATGCACTTGTGATATGTAGATATGTACGTACATAGCTACCGTAGATGCAACGGGCACCGCTCCGAGATTGTCCTAGCCGAGATTGTATGGCTCGAGGGGTAAAACGAAGCGATCAACGGGCCTTCGTGCTGGTTGATGGCCTATATTCTCAGGCACCATTGTGGACTGCAGCACGCTTCTGTCTGCAGGCGTCTTGCATCTCTTGGTATCAAACATTCTGGTTCTCATAGCGATGATCTTTGTCGGAATTCTCAATAGAGAGAGATCACGCTTATCGAGTTAAACCGCTACAACGTAGGAAGCAATGGCAAGTAATGCCGATCTACAACATGTGTCCAAGTAAGGCGCTTGGTATGAGCTCAAAACACCATGTGTTACCTCAGTTGCTTGCAAGTGACTGGTCAAGTTTCTCCTAACGGTTGCCAAGTCAACAAACCGGGGTACATACAAGGTGAGACGATGAGTATTAAGATCCGCTCCCATTCTGCCACTTGCAATACAGATGTCAGAACAACCCAATAATTGACGCATCGGCTCAAACACAGTCAACACTGAAATCTACGGCTCTGTTGCTAACCCTGACACGATTCAATTCCACTTGATCCTCTCAAAGCGGACAGGGAAAACATTCGCCACCGGTGGGATACATAACTGTATGTACATACTCGTAGAAACTGCCACATTCCATCTGCCCCGTCAACGTCATTCTGTAATTCATATTTCGCAGTTCGCAGCTTTACTGTAATCTACAATGTAAATGGTATCCACTGAGATCTCCAATTTAGATTACGTGGATCCATGATGATGATTATGATGTGAAATATGATGATGGGTATGATGATAGACATGTCTGAAACGGACTGGATCTGCCAACGAACGCGGGTGCGGTGGGGTCCGCCGCTTGCAACCCACCTTTGTCGATTTCTATTTCCGTTCCTGACCAGCGCGAAAGCATTGGTCCTGGAGCTCTGGTCGGACGGATGTTCTGGGCCGATTTCTTTTTTTGGTCTCTGTCTTTAGTCATTCTATTTCCAGGTTCAAGTTTCTTGCAACGCCTGTTCCGCGCGCGCACGTTCTGGGTAGGTGGTGGGTGCAACCTGCGTACTCAGTTGTTTTATCAATGGCCAAACGCTTTCTGAGTCAACTAGTCCCGGTGGCGTCGGTGGATTCGAGAGCTATCGAAGGTCCCTGTGCCGTTAGTGTTGGGAGCAGGTCTAGTTTGTCTCTACTATGTACGAGTATGCTTATACATACTACAGAGCAATGTACATGTAGGACCGCCATCCATTGACCTGGTAGTAAATCTTTAAGTTCCAATGTCTATACTAGTGGTTTGAGTCTTTACTTAGGCCCAGACGTTTTAATGAAAATATTCAACTTTCAACGTTTCCAAGATTATTCCAAGGTTGCTACTGGTAGTGGCTGGGAGTACTGCCAATACCTATTGGTACTACCTAGGTATATATCTCCGCTCAAAGTGGCATTCACCCTAGGACTACCTGAGTACTAGTAGGTACTATCAGCAAATTATCTCGATTAACCAAATCAATTGTACAAGTACTACCAGTACTACCAGTACTACCACTACTACACTTCTATGACTTCCCAACAGTCACGAGGCCGAGTCAGAGATGAATCATAAAATGGCCAGCTCCAATTGGCTCAAATCGACCAGGAGCCCCACCTGCGACGAAAAAAAAGAAGAACATCAAGGAGTCGCTGAGATGTTATCGGCTCCATGATGCACCATGAGCAAGCGCTCTTTCGAGGAGTTAAGGGGTCCTCCCGAAGCAGATCACAATGGTCTGCTGGCCATCCAAGATTTGCTCTCTCCCGATGAGCGAGAGCCAACTCCACCATCCGGACCCTCAGGCTCCAAGAAGCCCCGGAACTTCATCGCCACGGTGGTGCGCAATCCCCAATGTCCCTGATCTGACTGGAAAAAACGGCTAATACCAAGCATAGGCCTGCGAAACATGTCGCCTGAAGAAAACCCGATGCGACGAGTCGCGGCCGAGATGCGGGCTCTGCAAGACCCTCGGTCTCGAGTGTGTTTACAATGAGCGCAAATCATCCAAGTAAGCCCAACCCAATTGATGATCGTGCCTCGTCCAAATACGAAACCATATCAATTTTCCAACTGTAACTAATCAAATCAAAAGACGAGACCAATCTTTAACGATGATCATGAGTACTCTTCATCGCCTGGAGACAAAATTGGAGAACATTCCATCATCCATATTGAATGACATTCGTGGCCAAGTGCACCATGTTGTCGATAGTCCCAACTCGGCACATCAATCGCCTGCAGCTCGCGATGATAATCAACCGGCGGCGATGTCAACATCGCTCAGCTTTACCCCCGCAGCCGGGGATGGATATGACTTTGACTTTGAAGAGAACAACGCCACTCCAGATGCCTCCGGCCGTACCTCTATCTCATTCAGCCAACACGGAGTAATTCTCTGGCCGGGTGCGCGGCAGATCCTTCCTGATAAATTACTGAATTCCTACAAGATGCTCGGAAAGAACTACGTGATCGAGTTGGAATCGACGCGACCACCACTCCCGATGTTCACCGACCCATTTCCCCTACACGCCGGAGAGCACTGGCTGGAAGTTCTCCCTATCACAATGATCAAGGGCCTGGCCGATGCCTTTTTCAGCGTGTTCAACCCCTTTACTCCAATTATGGACAAGAGCTTTTTCTTCTCCTTTACCCTTGGCTCTGCTATTGAGAGCAACTTCGGGTATACTATGGAGAGCTGTATAGTTCTCAATGTTCTTGCACTGGGCTGTTTAGCTGTATTGGCCTATCAGGAGGGGAACTATTCATTGTCTGATTCTCGTGGAACGAATTTTGAGCCACCGGACTGGATGAATGTGGTATACGAGGAGCAGTCTGGGCTGAGGTTTTTCAACGAGGCTCGTCGACGCATTGGCTTCTTGATGTGCGACAACGACATACAAAGCTGTCAATTCTATATGCTATCCTCGTATGTACCTCGCCACTATTCACAACATATTCCATACTAACCGTCAACAGGATATACTATAGCCAGATACTTCGGCCAATGGACGCCTGGGCTATGATCCATCGTGCTGCAACGTGTTGTTTATCAATGCTAACGAAGTAAGCAATGCTCCTTGCCATTCATCCGTGTGAATTTAAAGTGCAATATGCTAACCAAGTTCTAGCCATGATGTGAACTTCGACCAATGGGAAGGCGACATGAAGTCTCGCGTCTACTGGAACTGTCTCATGAACGAAACCATCCTTGTCCAAGAACTTCACCTCCCACCAAGTGGTCTATCGCGCCTCGAAGAGCGAGTTCCAATACCCAAGTTCATTGGCTTCCAAACAACAGGCTACATTTCAACCCGATACCCATCATCGACCCTAGTCGACGATTCATACTTCCAATACCACTTCCTCGCACAGGTGGCCCATCGAATTATTCTCACTCGCATCCGCCATTCCCTCTACTTCTACTGTTTGTCAAACCCCAACGAGTATTTACTTCTATCGAATATAGCTAACAGCTCACTAGCCGATTCGGGAGCAATTCCTTTGCCCGCCGTCAACACTGAACTCCACCACCAACTTGAACAATGGCGCACCAACCTCCCACCCGCCATCAAATTCTCCGACCCCCAACCAGCAACTTCACATCCCACACCTGTCGACCCTTCAACCTCCATCCACCCGTCACCATCTTCAGTTGCATCTCCAATCCCCGCTTCGCCTCGACCACAAGATCCACTTCGCCCCCTCTCCCCAGCAGTGGCGGTCACAGACGCAATGCTGCGAGGTCGACATATGATCGCTCAGTTCCACATCGGCCGACCATATCTGTACAAGGCACTTCGAATTCCGAATCTCCTCACCGATGATGATCTAGAGCAGATCAAGAGTGGGTTGCGAAATGCGATGGACTGGCCTGTCACGCAGGGGATATTCCGGAAGATGAAGAGTTGCATCCCGATTAAATTTGCTTTTTGTTCACAGTGAGTCACTCTATCCTTCAATAGCTTTTCTGTTTTATCTCCCCTCCTCCACCGGACTGAGCTGATCAATACCCGTGATAGATTTTTTGGACAGATCCTGCTCTTCTATTGCATTGCACACTCGCCTAGTGCACGTGTCCGTGATACATTGCCTGCAGGCTGGGAACGCTGGAATGAGGAGATGTTGCATTTCCTGGATGACTGCGCACGACATAGTCCTGCCGTGGCGCAGGATCTAGAATTGCTGCGGTCATTGTGGCCGGTGCATGAGTAAATGCGCCTGTTACCGTTCTGTATAGTGGCCTTGTTGGCGTATCCTTTTTTTTTTGTGATGATGGGTGTGGTCTCTTTAAATGGTATTTGCATGGAGTTGACTGGGTTGGGGTGTTTACTTTGCAAAAAATTTGCGACGATACAGACAATAATGATAGATTCCGAGTTCTATACCAGCAATATTTACGGCGGTGTGTTCATGAAAAAGGGTATTGCGGAACAAAATCTCCCCCTCTTGTAATGTGCAGCAAATGGGAAGAGTCTGCTAGCTAGGCAGCACGAAGCCATACCATAGAAGACAGAAACGGCATGCAAATAAAAGAAACGATGATTGAAAATCTCCAAAGCTTATAAGGCCCATTCGTTCGAGGCGTCCGAGGCTGTTATGAAGGGTTTGTCGATTTGCTTGATGGCATGGTCACCACATAAGATGCTAGTAAATCGGTTAGTACGGGGAACAGACCAGGAGAAACAAAGTAGAAACTTACCAAGCTTCGGCAACAAGTCCGTCTAGTTCTTTGACGATCTCCTCCCTCCGCGATGTAGAGATGTCGCCCTTGCTGAGCTGTGCTTGCAAATCTCGAATATATTTCTTCTTTCCTCCAGCGCCTTCCAGAACCTCCTTGCCTAAGCAGTCGCTATGGAAGGCGTGCTGGCATGGAAAGACGAAGAATTGGCGACTCAGCAAGGGTAGTGAGCAGATCCAGCATTTCTCTCCAGGTTCCACGATGGCGTAACGGGAATCTAGGTCGGAAATCTCATTGCGAATTTTCCGGGCCGTCTGTGCTGAGTTATCCATCTCTCGGCGTAATTCATCAATATGGCGCGAATATTCTTCCAAGGCGGCGCAAATTTCATCTTTGAAGTCGTCAATGACAACGAAGTCAGGGAAAAAGGGGATGAGATCCTCGATGCGAAGAAGTTCACAGCGGCCCAGGAATGCCATTGCATCTTTGATACCTGTTCCTGGCTGTCGGATCTTTTTCTCGGCCACCAGTAGCCACAGTTTCTTGCGGAGCTTGTTGTTGCCTTCAGGGCGGTCGGCAACGATGGCTGCAAGATCGATGTCGTTGTGGTCCAAAGCCAGCTCTACTGCTTGCAGGTACTGGCCCATGGTGCTGTAGATGTGAATGCATGACTGGACTCGCTTGTGCTGAATACAGAGTCGAAGGGCAAAGTCTGCGTCGTAGGGAGGTGGTGAAGATGACTGTGTCTGGAGATATGTGAGAAGTCCACCTTCAGAGGAAGATGGGCTCGAGGCATGGATTGAGATGAGTGTGTTGTGCACAGCTGCGGATGGCTTAGGATGGTTGATGATGATGTAATTCAGGTAGCGAACTGCCTGATTCTGGCTGAGGGAGACATTGGTCGTCTTGTTGTAATTCAATAGGGCAGGGATGAGCTTCTCGGGGTCGAGATTCGTTTGCCGCATGAGGATCTCTATTAAACCAGTAGCAGTATGCGTCATGAGCACACTGCTATACTTGTAAAAGACATCAGGCTCGCTTTGCCGTTGTAGGACGTTGAGAGCCTCCGACCACCTTTCTCTTTGAATCCAATATGATAAAACGTAGTTATGGTCGTTGGCAGCGGTTGCAAAGAAGAGCAGCTCTTCTTCTCGCCCATGGCTGCTAATGATGTCGTAGGCGGTCTTTTTGTCCAGGTCTGATTTGTAGTTCTTCACGAATTCCTGGAACTCGCTTCGGACACTGCCGAGTTGATCCTGAATCTCCCCAGGGGTAACACCTTCAATCAATTCTGCTTTCGTAGCAATATCATCATCCAAAGAATTGAGCTTTGACATAAAAAGCTCCACAAGCCAGCTGGCTACCATCAATCTCTGCATTATAGATGCTTTCTTGTACATCGATAGTTGCGAAAGCAAGTATTTCCTCAGGGCATCGTATTCCTTGTTGTCCACCATGGTCAAGCACACCTCCTCAAACCCCTTGCTGCTCTTGCCCCATACTTTGGCGGCTTCGAGGAAGTTGCCTTCTCCGGCCAGGAAATCGCCCGATGCAGTCAAGATAGCGTCTCTCTGAGCCTGGCTCTTGGCAAAATGAAGTGCCTCGTCGAATTTTTTCTCCTTAAGAAGAACTTTCCACACGTCCCTATCTTCGTCGTTGGCTACAACCTCGAAGATTTCTTGGCCGGTGAAGAGCCAGTAGGTGTTTTGTGTCAGATCAGTCAGAAGACCCAAGGCACTTTGTCTAGGCTCCAGAACAGCCTCATCGTACACAATCTCCCCATTGAGGCGATTGACGGCAACCACTCTACCCTCGACAAGTGCCAACACATGCCATTGGGACAAGGTCACAGCAGAAATGGGATCCTGTATTAGCTTCTTACCACCCCGGGCAGACTGGGAGGCAGGGAACTTCGATCGGGAAATCATTTTGGCCTTTTCAAATGGGGCCGAGGATGCAAGCTGGCCATGATAGATACCCTGCGAGCTAAGCCATGCAAACTCCTTTTCGGTATACCCCTCTGCATGAGCTCCAGATGAGGAGGACGAGGAAACAACCAGCGAAGAAGGTGCAGAGGCAGAGGGATTCGAAACATCATGCGTTGATGGCGTTTCGCGTTGAAACAGATCTGTATATATAGACCCACCGCCTTCGCGCCCGTGCTTCGCAGATCCCGTACGACCCAAGAAGTGCGTCAACTTCCCATATGTCGCGAGAAGAATTCGCCTTTGCTCGGGCTTTGAGGGGACAGGTTCAACAGAGATCCCAGTCACTGGGGAAGCTTCCGGCACTTTGTAAACCGCAGTGACATACTTCTCCTCGCGTCGATAGAACTCCGTAGACGGCTCGATGTAGCTCTCATAGACATTGCCGTCGGTGGCACCTAGTAATATTTCACGCGTAGAGGCAGTTGGCAGAGAGGGGTTCCAGGCAACACTTTCGATGGATACACCCTTTAACCGGGACAAGGCCTTGGGCTGTCGCGACTGAGTGTGGAGGTAGTAGTTCTCGCCGAGGGTGGTGCTGATAATCAGGTGAGACGCAGAGGGATCGAGAAACATGCGTCGAATGAGACCAGTCTCCGAGGACTTCTTAGGGAGGTCGATATCTGCCGTGAGGGAACACAGTTAAGCTCCGAACGATGCGGCCTAGCATTGCGGGGTGGGACATCGCATACCATCAATATCCTCAGGGGTATCTAGATCGATCCGAAGAATTCGGCCTGTGGAAAGGGCCAGCACTAGGACATTGTTGGCGACTTGGGCTGCCACGAAGTCCGCGGCGATCTGGAACTGGAGCTGCACTCGTTGCACGTCGAAGATGGGGAGAGAGTCGTCTGCGGGCTCCGTAAGGTTGTTGGGAGCAACATAACTGCTGGATCTTCCCAGCGCCATGATGCGCAAGATCCAACTATATCATACCGACCCTCCAAAGAATAGGAGAAAGCTAGTGAGCTTCGGGGTGAGCTTGATGGCGGGAAGAGGACTGGGAGCTGGTGAAGTGGAATGCGGAGGGCTGGGCTGGGTTGCCGTTTTGCCTAAGGCCACAAGGCTGCCACAGCAGGACTACATAGTAATACTACAGAGTAACACATATTTAATAGCCTGGGTTGAAAGCTAGACTGCTAACTAGCAAAAAGAAAGAATAGAAGGTTACAGAAATTATGTATTGATTTATCAAATATTTCCACTGGTTTATTGCTGGGGTATCATCCATAGTCAAGATGCAATAGTTGGAAAGATAAACATGAAACTGTGTAGGGGTATCTCCGAATTCAACTCGGCATCACATCACAACACACTCTCGCTCCGGCTTCCGGGTCTTCTCTTTCGCCTTCTCCTTTAATTTCTCCTTCGACTTGTCCTTTGTCTTGTCCCTTGTGGCGCGGTCTTTCGTTCGACCTCTGCCAGCCTTCTCTTTGCTGTCGTACGCGGCAGGACCAAGTTTCATTTCATCTGGGATTGTCTCATCTACCTCATTGGCAGACTCATCACCTTCCCCTTCTCCATCACTGGTGAACCTATCCTTGCTCAATCGCCCGGTAAAGCGGGAAAAAGTGGTACCGATCTTGTTATCCCCGGTCTGGCTGGCGGCTCGGCTACCGGTGCGGCTTCCTGGGTTGCTCTTGGAATTGCGTGAGCCCCGCCGGAAACTAAATGAGTTCTTTGGAACTTCTTCTTCTTCCATGGGGGCTAGCTTTGGTGACATAGATGGAATTGATCGTGCCTGGGGGGCCGGTGGGTGCTGTCTCGGAGAAGATCACACTGGAAGGTCTTCTCCCGGTGCTATTCAAGGCTTGGGCGCTTGGGCTATCAGGAGCAGTGATTTCAAAACTGGGCCGAGCAGAGTTCACTTCGGTCACGCTTCCATCTGTTTCATTTCCAGAAACGTATCGGTATTTCTGGGCGATATCGGCCATGTCCACATCAAGAGTAGCATCAGATGCACGCGACGAGGGTGCTTTGTTGGGAAGATTAGCCAGCGAGGCGTCTTGGTTAATAGGAAGAATCTGGTAAAATAGAAGATAAGGTGACTCCGTCCTCAATGCAGTTTCAATATCAATAAGGGTCACTCGTTCTGCAGCGAGATCATCGAAGCGCATCCAGTGTTTTGGCGTCTCAAGCGTGTCGGAGCTACCACTAGAGGTAGAGGGTGTAAGGTTGGCGCTGGTTCCTCGGACTATGGAAATATAGTGTCCCGAGTCGACGGAGTTGCCGCGATGGCAGACCATTGCCTGGAGAGAAAGCTTGAAGTTTCCATAAATTGGTGCATCTGCGTCCATGTTGTCATCTTGGATAAAATGAGGCAGACCAATCTCAGTTGGAATGTCGATGTATGTATCCCGTCGAGTGGCGTTCCCGTTGGGAGTAAATGAATAGCGCTTCAAACACATGCCAAGAATGGGTCGCTTGGAAGCAAAGTGAGCTGCCACTTGAGCATCGTTTGTCGGTGAATTCTCCGTGTACCATGCTGTACGGACATAGACGTCAGTTGATGCCACCTCGGGCGAGGAATGGGAGAACGTACGGATCAGACTGAAGAATTGCCAAGCTGGCATCATCACTTCCTTCCTGAATATGCCTCTTCGCTGCTGGGGGTCTGAACCCGACGAGGGCTGATTATTTGCCGTCCCATCTGTCGGATCGGGAATAAATCGTTCTTGAACAATGCTGCTTCGCCGGGTAATCCCTCGCCTTGGCATAGTTTCGGAGGTATCTGAAACGGATGTCCATGGACTGGGCCGCTCAACCTGGGGTGAGTTAGATTGAACTGGGGATAGTGTCGGCGTTGTTTCAATCTCCTCGATATGTGCTGTAAAGCCCTTCGAAATAGACATTGAATCCACAGAGCGAGTGGAGCTAACGGTATTCCGCCGTTCTAAATGCCGCTTCACTTCAATTCGATTGTTGAAGTAAGCTTCTAAGCAGTCTTCGAGGGTCAGGGTTGACCCGTCAGTGGGTTCGGGTGGAAGGGCCACCTCAAGTAGTCTTTCATTGATGAACTTGTGGTCATCGCTGGCATCTTCCTTTCCAGTGTGATATATGTCCATTTTGAGGGTGAGGAGAGGAAGCTCAAGTGCTCCCGTTATGAAAGTGAATGCTTCAGAGGCATCCTGTTGTCTGAGGTTGGCTGCATCAGGCCAGCCACATTCTGCAAGGGCTTCTTGTATATGCTTGGTCTGTATATTTGATTAGTTCAAAGTACTGACACGGCAGTATTGACCAAAAGAGTAATGACTTACAATGTCTGTGGTGATCAGCCTCCCGCTTCGCAGCATATTAACCCAGAACCGCAGCAAAACAGCCATTTTCCGGCGAGGTTCGTCATTGAAGGATTTATACAAGATGGCCTCGAAGCAGTCGAGCCGTGCAAACATGGCAAAAAGGAGCGCATCTAGATAGCACGTCACTCCGCTTCTGTTCTCGGCACCAAGCAGCTTTGTATTAGGCGTGTAGCTCCGGATGATACCCTCAATCGAATCTTCCAGTAACAACAGCAGAGCGACAGCGGTGTCCACATCTCCATTGGCAGAAGTGAGAGCATAACTGTAATTCTTCTCTTCTAAAGTAGTGATTCCTAGTGCTCGTATTCGCTTCTCGATAATTTTGACCTATATATGAGCCCAAGTCAATAGATAGCCCAGTAACTAACGGCTAAGTCGTGGGGCAGTACCTTCTTCTGGTGCTCTTGATCATCGTCCTTGGTAGCATGGGGGGTGAAAAAGTCTCGGAGTACTGGTCGAGCCAGATCATTTGAGCCCTGAAAATACTCAACATTAGCAAACAGGTTTCTTCCCAGTAGCTATTTGCTGGGTTTCAGATCATCGCGCGGATACGTACCTCCTCTTTGCTCTGTCGCGATCGGCTGTGCCGATCGCGGCGGGTTGTTAAAAATCGGTGGATTCCACTCATGGCAGAGATATTCCCCTAGCGACAAGGGGTACTTTGGATCGTTTCAGATCGTTGGAAGTGGAAGTTTGGAGAGGAGGCGGCATGCGGGGGAGGAGAGCTCTGGGTAAGGAGCTTAGTTGAGGCTGCAGGATTCCCATGAGGCGCACGAAGACCCCATCATCTGCCAAGTACTTCTGACACTGACACGGGGCAAAATACCAAGGGCCAGTCAGGATGCGTGAGATTTGTGCATGCGAAATGATAGGGAAAAAGGTCTCACGGGTCGATCTAATGACCCAATGGAAGCTAAACTGTTGATCACTTACCGCGGGGCAGTTTGCGCCGTAACCGCCTTATTTGTCAGGTGTCTGTCAGGTGATACACGTGACCAGAATCGCCCCGAAATTTGTTTGTCGCGACGGACCATCTCGATGAATCTCCGAATCCAGCAACATCACATTATACACAAAATGGCTGCCAGGGAGCCATCTAGATACCTGGCTAAGGCTCTGCCCAGGGCATTTGCCCCATCAGCCCGCCCCCAGGCCTTTATTGGCCGACGCAATGCCTCCGACGAGGCCCCGACTCGACGTTTGTCGGACGAGCTGGAGACTTCCTCGTCTTTGACCTCCAAGGTCTCCGACAGTGCAGCTGAATCGTTCGACCCAGTTTCTCGAGCCAGTGCTCGCAGGTCCCAGCTTCCTCGCAGTCGGTAGGTGATGGTCTCATGGGAACTTCGACTCCTTATCCGCAAGAACAATGAAGTCTCGCACACGACAGCATAAACTAATATCGTCCTCCCAACTTTTAGATACCAATTCCGATCCCCTAAATATGACCGCGGTCCTCTCCACCCTCACCAACCCCCTGCTCCTTCCGATCCCTCCTCCCGCCTGTTCGTTCCCGGACCTTTCTCTCTACCGCGAACCGAGCAGACCTACAACGCGACAGTCGCATCAGACATCATGACCCTGTGTTACGTGCACACACCACCCGGATTCAAGCCCCCCGTCAAGGCCCCACGACTGCGCGAGTGGGACGACAGCTCCCCCTACCATAAGAACCGTCCCCTCCGTGGGCCCCGTGGCGGTGATGTGCTGCGATTACTCCGCAAGCCAATTCGGTTCAACAACATCCCCAAGATTGAGCGGATCACTGTCCACAGTTACGTGAAGCAGGCAGCGCAGGAGAACTCGTCTTGGATCCACGTCGCCGGTATCGCGATCCAGGCTATCTCCAATGTCCGTGTCGAGACCTTCAAGTCGAAGTCTGCCGTTGCCACTTGGAGCATTGCTCCTGGTCGCGACACCGTCGCCGTCAAGGCGGAGTTGCAGGGCGAGACGATGCACCACTTCCTTGGAAAGCTGATTGATGTTGTTCTCCCTCGTATGAAGGATTGGCAAGGTATCAAGGGTAGCAGTGGCGATAGCAGTGGAAACATTACTTTCGGTCTGGAACCGGAGCATGTTGCCCTGTTCCCCGAGATCGAGGTCAACTACGATATGTGAGTTTTTCTCATACCGTTTAGGCTTATTTCTTTCTACTGATTACTGACTGTTCTCAAGGTATCCTCCCAAGATGATCCCGGGTTGCCACATTACCCTTCACACCACTGCCAAGGCGGACAAGGATGCCCGACTCCTCCTGAGTGCCATGGGCGTTCCTTTCTATGGAAAGATTGTCCAGTAAGGGTTAATGGGAGCGTATTTCCCAGAAAACACTCGCTCGTCTTTGGCATATGGCGTTGTGTTACTATCCGACCTGTAACTTTAGAGGTGACCTGCATGGTGGTCACTGTGATTCCAAACCTGTGTATTATCTCATTAACATTATCTTTTAAATCAAGCGTCAATTACAGTTGAATCGAATATCGTAAACTAAAAATTGTGTATTTTATGACAGCGTTGCTCATTACAGTGGATGGTTGTTTTCAATACGAAAACCAGCATTGTAGACGTGACAGTTAATTTAGACAGTCTAGTCCCCCCATCCAATCGATTCCGTAGCCGAAAGAAGCGACCCCAAGAGAGCTCAACATTCAACTTAATCACCATCTTACACATCAAGGGGAAACATAACGAATAGGGTCAAGAGACGAAATACGCATCACGTAATTGGCATAGCCAGGAACTTGCACTTCAGAAGCTCATCCGCGCTGGGTCTCTTCTCATACTCATGTTGGAAGGTCATATCAAGGAACTCGCCCGCTTCCTCGCTAACATGTTCGGGAGTATGAGGCCGAGCCTTGTTACTACCGATAGCAAAGATGGCCTGCAGCTGACTGCAGTCTGGGAAGGGGTGAGCGCCAATAAACATTTCCACGACGAGACAGCCCAAACTCCAGATATCGGCTTTCTTGGTATGCGCTGTTTGGCGCACCACCTCTGGTGCCATCCAGTACACACTGCCTTGCATGGAAGGCCGGTGCATATGTCCAGCGCTGCCACCGCCGGTACTGGCTCGAGAGCCGAGAACGGCGGATGCTTCAACGCGCTTGGAGATACCGAAATCGGAGATTTTGACACCACCCTTGTTGTCGACGAGGATGTTGGCTCCCTTGATGTCTCGATGGATGATGTCACAGCTGTGCAGATACGATAGACCGGCTAGAATCTGCCGGACAAAGTTCTTGACTAAGGGCTCTTGGAAGGTGTTGTATTGCTTGAGCATGGTAGCGATGGAACCACCGGGCACATACTCCAAGAAAATGTTGAGATGCTGGTCATCGGTGCCAGTGCCCAGGTATTGGACGATGTTGGGGTGATGCATCCCCTGCAGGAGTTCAATCTCGTGCTTGAGGGCAGTAACCATGAGGTTTTTGCGTTTGTCGAACTCTGTTCCTTGTGTAGCTGAGGGAATCTCGACCTGCTTGACGGCCATGAGTTCTCCAGTGATAGCATGGAGAGCCAAGAAGACACTTCCGAAAGAACCTTCACCAATGAGCGAACCCTTCATCCAGTTTTTGGGAGCAAAATTATTGCCTGCCAGGAAGTCATCCATCAAGCCTGCATCGTCCTCTTCTTCGCCCTCTTCACCCTCTTCGTCTTCGCGCTCGCCGTCGCGCTCGCCAATCAGGACGCTCATACGTTCTTCATTGAAAGAATCACCATCCGTAGCTGCGACACTCATGCTTTCATCCAGCATACTTTGGCGTGAGGGATTTGGCTCATCAGAGCTGCTCTCGAAGGAGACGTAGGATTTGCGATTCGGCTCGGTGGGAGATTCTTCCTGAAGGGGTTGAAGAGAGCTTGAGGCAATAGAATCACGGTATGAGGTGTGAGGCAAATTGAACTTGGAAAGTGAAGGAGGCCGTGAGGCGCGTGCCGCTTGCGCCCCAGTTTGGGGCGGCTGGAACCATGAATCGGCAATGTTGGGCATAGGTGGAATAGGTGGGATAGGAGGTAGAGGAGGAGGAGGGCGGTGCATCTTTGAGGCTTGAAGCAACACTGAAGTTACTAACAACACTCAGACGGCTCGCCGAACGACTGTAGCGTTGGGATCTGCGCACGGTCTTTGCGATATCTTCACGATCATGACTGGGGAAGAACGATTGTAGTTCGTGAATGATCATCTCACTTGGAGGTCTCTGGCCGAAGAATGACCGTAACTTAGTAGCCACGGGGTTGCGCTCGCTGCCTGGAGACTGTTGACCCTGGTCGCCTGGAGTGGGCGATGGACGATGCCTAGGGCCCACAGGGGAGACTGGCTGCTTGGTGTTGATGACATTCCATGGTTCTCCCGTGAGCTGCTGGATCTTATTCTTTTGGCGGAAGTTGGATTTGTTCATCGCGTTCTCATGAGTGACCTTGCTTTCATCGTAGGCAAGCTGGGATGCTCGACGAAGCTCGTCCTGGTCTGGTTCTCCGGCATGGATCTTCCGGAGAATTAAACGACCACGTTCAGGCTTGTTCACGCCATCGCAGATCTGCAAGAGCTCAGCTTCGGTGAGTTTCCGGCAATTAGATAGGTCTGGTTCTAGGCCATCTAAGACATAGAAGCAGTAATTTCGGTATTGGTGCTCTGGAAGCTGCAGTTTCCTCAGTACTGATATAATGACCTCCTCCGGAGTTCTGCTGTTCCGGATATCGAGCACTTTAGTCTGTCCACCGGTGTATATAACACGGATAACAGGGCTATTTTGTGGAAGAGGGCCCATAGTGAGACCATCAAGGCTGTTATTTCGAGGATGCGAGGCACCTGGAGTGCTTGGATTGCGTCCAGACCCCGAACCACTGGTGAGATAGCCATCCTTCCGCCAGGTCCGATCTGAATCAACCGGGGGCGAAGCAGGCTGCGAGGAAGATTTGTATCCATCCCGAGACCATCGCCGGCTGCTCAGACCCGAGCGAGTGTTTTCAGTTAACACTGCAGCTTCCATAGCCGCCAATTTTTTCTATGCCAGGTTAGTACATGGTGAGAATGAAAGGACCGCGGTTCGCGGGTTACCATATTCTTTTGCCTCGGGTCGACCATGGTCTTGTTTCGAAGCTGCTTGATAGCGACGAAAATGCGCACGCGGTCGCCCACCTTCTTTATACCCATTTCCTGTAGAATCTTTTGGTCGCAGTCGATTAAATTATCACCGTTGAAGTTGTTCGCTTTGAGAGATCAGCATGCATCCAAATTGCTCTGCGGGTCGAAAGGAAAGTTACCTCGGAAGAGCGACTCATATTGTCCGCACTTAATGCTGTGAAGCCATGCCACCACCTTCTTCTCATCCCAAGCCCTATATGAAGTCAGGAAACCTGCCATTTGCTCAAGCTCTATCCAATTTGATAGCTTACCGGACACCCAGTTGTTCGTCGTGTCCCTCCGAGAATTCCGATTTGGTCGGGCTGGAAAATCCAAACCCCTCGGTCACTTTTGTCGCCGTCGCCGGTCTTTGGGAGGTCGAGTGAAAGGTGGTTGTAGAGGCTTGGGCTGCAGGCATGCCTAGGGAGACCGAATATGGCGGTTGTGAAGCTAGCATCGTGAAGGCGAGCTGCTAGAAGTCCAGCCTTTGTCCAAAGTATTCCTTCTTGATCTCTGGATGAGCGATGGGGTTGAGCTTGATCGCAAGAGCCCTTTCTCCGCCTGCGGGCAAGAGCTTGTCGCGCCGGTTTCGATAGAAAGTCGTCGGGAGGATGGCGGGGGTCAGCACATAGTACCGAAGGGAGGAGGCCTGTGATTGTTGAGTCTGTTAGATCGTGCGACTCTTTGGGACCAGTGAAGAGTGAACAGCGAATATTGGGCGTCGAGGCGTCAATGGGGGCCTGAGAGCGAGCCAAGGCTGACCGACACAGATATTCGTACACACACTGCACAGAGAAGGCAGACAGAAAAGAAGAGGAAGGGGAGGATTACATACCGGCACAATGGAAAACGTCTTTGTTCCCGAGGGCCGGAGGGGACGATCGCGAAGTCTGAGCTTTTGGGGGGGGAAGAAGATGGAGATCGGGGAGGGAGCCACTTAGTGTGGTCGAGATCGGGCGTTTATCGAATGGAAACTCCGACAAACTCCCCACCGCAACAAATACGATCCAATCCAATGCTATCAACTTTACGCAACTCCGGGAGATTGAGCGAGTTTTGTAGCGTTGGCTGAAACCTGAGACGACTAGACGACGCACTCCATCAAGGGGTTGCTCACCGTCGTCTCAGCCTCCCCACGCGTTTCATGGCCATCGGAGGTGTCACGTCTCATCCCTTGCGACTCTGTCCTACATGCCACAACGCGAGCTCGGACTCTGTTCTTGCCACTCAATTCAATAGTTCATGACAATCTGTTCTTCCTCCAGTGCAACTCTTCAATTCAATCTTCAAAGGGATTCTTCTGGAGTGGCTTTCCGGCCGGCCCCACCGCTGAAACAGCGGATCTGAAGTCGGTCCTTATTGAGACCCAGTTGCATCTTGCCGATAGGTGTGGCCAAAGAACAGAGTTCCATGGTTTCGCCCATGAAAAAATTTAGAATGGAAATAGGGCCATGTGGCGCACTACGAATGAGACAAAGCTGCTTCCGCTCCATCTGGATAGTATGTACCTGGATATCCAATGCCCCCAGCTCAACGTCATGATGTCCCAGACCGCCTGTTATACTAGCAGCCGGGAGGATATAATAATACTGAACTGAAAGGCCCGAGCAGACATCAGATGAACAGTATCCTGGGGACTGAGGTGTAGGTATGATGAACTATAGAAGAGGAAGACTTCGTAGTCGCCCTACGCCAACTAGCTATCTATGTGCCTTCATTCCCATCGATGGGAAAGAAAGTAGAATCCGCCAGCCGTTGAACCTTTTCTATGCAGTTCTGGTAGCGGATCTATCTTGTTCTGTATGTACAATCCCCAAATCATCTCTTCCCCCTCCCCCCAATTGGAGATGGTTCATGTGGCTTCATGTGGCTTCTCCGCACCGGTGGAGCCTACTCACCGCATGCATCCCCAACATTTCGCCCACATAGCTTTGATTGCAGCTTTGTTTGGCGATTTCCTCTAGACATATTAATAAAATCTTAAAAAAGTCGTTTCGATAGACCCTGGAAATTATCAACAGAACTTCAAGCTGATTAAGCAATTGGCTTCACGCAATAATCAAGGAGGCTTGGAGAGCTAAATCTATAATCTATAGGAAACAATAAGAGAGGATAATCTATGACTTTTGTTTTATGGCATCTCTGCCCTCATATTAGTAAATGGCAAAAATGGATGCCCGAATTATAGACATAGGTATGCGGCGCTGGCTCGATGATTCCGGATAGAAACTTGAACTATTGTCGGTGTATGGCTTAGTATGAAGAAAAGCTGCTTAGAGCAACTTTTCTTCAAGTCTCTAGTATAGCCGTGATATATAAACGACTTCTGTACGACCCCACAGCTAGGTATCACGGCGAATCTGCCCAGGTGAATTCTAATTATCTTCTTCATGTTCCCAAAAAGAACATAGTGGAGCAATAGAATCACCGCGCAAGTGCTCCCCTCCGTATATAACTCAATTGAAGCTACCTACCAAGATATAATTTTTCTTGCTATTGTCTGCTTTGGTTAAAGCTCCCAACAGAACTTGAAGCTTCAGCATCCTCATTCCAAGTTTACCGTGAGATGTTACGAAGACTACCGGGGAATAGGAGTTCGGCCGAACCCATCCGTTGGATTAAGTCGACGCCCACAATAATGGAGTTGGTTGGCACGCCAAATCGCGAGTATTCACGTCTAGGTCCAGACTCAGTTCTTCGTTTATGATTTCTGTTCATAAGTATGCTGCGGATATTAGAATAGGTTCATTCCGCGAGATAGCCTGTTAGACATCTTCACGAGATAGGGCCAAAGGCAGGTGAGACAATGTTACTTTTAAATTTGACTGATGCCAATGCTTGGCTAAAAGCTAATTGAATGACTTCAATATTAGGAAATTCTTCGGAGTTGTGTTGAGAAAGCTTTAGTATTGCCTTGTGGTACCTGCTACATTGGGCAGGTGATTTTGAGTGCTTTCCGGGGTCGCACAAGCTGAGAGACCCTGCGGAATTCGATTTGAGCCGCAACTCAAATAAGTACTGTGTAGTCATCTCAGCCTGTGGGGCAAGTATAATCAAGAAAAGACAAATTATTAGCGCACAAAGTCTTTGGCTGAGAGAGCTACTACCCGTAGTAGTTGTAGGATTTCTAGTAGGTGAGACATCATTTTCGAGACTATTCACGCTAAAATACTGAGCCAAATAACGGTTCCTGGGTTATCTTCTCCCAGACCCACCCACACAAGCGAAGGAAACTTTGGCACTGTCCATCTCCTCTGTACTCCGTACTAGATTATCAGGTCACATCCATGAGCTCCACTACCTTTGGCCTCCAGATCGATCGATATTTGACTATTTACCGTACGGGGTACCTAATATCATCTCTAAGGTGTTCTTAGTCAGTGAGCGACCATCGGGTTTAGGACGAAATATATCGACCATGTGCCTACAAGAAGTTGCAATGTAATTTCAAGTTCTTCGGGGTTGACTTTGAAGGCCAAATGTTGATTCTAAACATACGGAGTATGTACAGACTCCGGGTGTTTGTTTAGTGGGGGGATGAAGAGAGCCAGGGAAATCTGCCTGGCCCCGGGGTGGATCCCAAGGTGAGGTCAAAATTTTATTCCCGAAAAGGGGCCAGTGAAGGCAAATTTCCCACTAGTAATTCTTGAAGACAGTTGTAATAAACAATACCTCCTATGTTTCCCTAGAGCGACGAGGATCTCAAGCCTTCCAGCTGGTCATATAATCAAACCCATCAAGTCAATTTCAATGATGGGTCTGTATAGAGGCGATCATGTTGATCCCTGGAGTTCCAAGGTTGATTTCAATTTTAATGGGTCTCCTACTCACTGGTAATACGAAGTCACCCAGTGGGAGTCCAGATTGCGGCTCTGTGGCGGCTGACTGGCACGTGTAGCTTGATGTGGCAGGTGGAAAAGGCTCCAATGGGAACAATTGGTGCCCAGGTTGCCAAGTAGCAAACCTGCCTAGCGATAGAATGGGCTAATGAGGCCGAGAGTTAAACCAGTTAGGGTTAGCAGCAGCCTAGAATTAGACCCTGCGCCCAAACTCTTCAATGCGCTGGGGCTGAGACCGTACTAGTGTACTAGTACACTTATATTTGGGCCTTGACGACCTTTTCCCTGATCACAGCTATTTCTTTCTCTTACCTTGGAAGATCCTTCTGATCCTCACAATTTCAACCTTTCAAACAAATCCAATCTCTCCATCAAAATGCACTTCAAAGTCATCCCGGCGCTTCTTATGCTGGCCCCGGTCGTTCTGGCCAACCCCGTTGCAACTGATACCGCCGACCTCTCCGCTTCCGAGACCGATGAACTGAACGATGCTCTCGCGAATATTCCCAGCTCGATCCTGACCGTGCTGGCGACCGCTATCCCCCAATCCTGGTACATGGACCTCCTGGACCCGGCTTCCCAATCCGCCTTCCTGAGCGAGGCCTCGGCCGGTGTTTACCCAGACTGGTACAGCGCACTTCCGTCCAGTGTCATCGCCTGGGCCAGCTCCGCTGCAGAGAATGGCGATGACTTCCTGTTCGGAAGCGCGACTGCCACTGACGAGAGCGCGAGCGGTTCCACTCCCACTGGCTCTCGCAGCTCTGCCAGAACTGCCTCTGCCACTGCCACTGCTACCCAGACCAAGACCGACTCTGAGTCCAGCACTGAGTCCAGCACCGAGTCCAGCACTGCGACCAACTCCAACACTGATTCTACCACCGCCACATCAGATGCTAAGTCCTCAGAGACTGCTTCTAACACTGCTTCCAGCGCTGCCTCTTCCACTCACGCATCCGAGACCTCCACTGGCGGTGCTCCTCTCGCTACTGGAAGTGTCGCCATGAGCCTTGCTGGTGCTGCTGGCTTGCTCGGCCTTATTGCCGTACTCTAAGCGTCAAGCCTCAAGATTGTCCATGATTGTTCAATCTGCTATGCCTCTATGTCATGGAAACCAAACGCTAACATAATTTCAACTTGAAATGAAGCAACCTCTACATGAATTGTCCCATTCCACTTCGAGTTAAAATACATTTAATTTAATACTAGTACACCTAGTACTTCAATACAAATCTTGAGACTGCAGTAAAATAAAGGACCGACCTTGAGGGTTCAAAATGCCTGGCATCGATATGCCTATTTTTGGCCATTCGATATAGTATAAACTTAAATTACATTGCTATCTTGCTTGTTCTGATAGTCAAATGCGCATTTGACCCGGCGCAAGGGGTGACGAACGTAGTCAGGAATGGACCTCTTCCAACTAGAAGGTTGGAGATATAAATGACTCGGATGGATGGTCACTCCCCTGGAAATCAAACCAAGCTATCGCAAGTACTTGTAAAGTGGTATTAAAGCACTGCCATTCTCACTTTATTGGCTAGAACAGTACACGATCTAGTAAACTATAGCCTTGGGATATATCAAAATATTTAGTATTTCTTTTGCCATGTCTGTTTCACAGAAGTATAGATACTTACTTTGTGCCCTGGAACTTCCGCGGGTAAACATACAAGACAGGACCTAGTTCCAAATAAAGAAGATCGATTGGACATCTTAATTGGACTTGAAGATATGAAACACTTATCTCTGACATAGAATCTCCCATAATTTCTCCCGTGTTGATCGACAGGTCGGCTGTCGGCTTCAGTGGCCTTGCCGGCAAGTGCTGTACATGAGAGATCTCCTCCTCCATCCTCCATCCCCCATTCCCCATTCCCCCTCCCGTCTCAGCCACGCCTCTCCCCCTTCACTTCCAAGCCCCAGCAGACCGCTCCAACCAGCCTATCTCTGCATATTCCCGATTTCTTTATCTGATTACCTCTTCATCCCCCCTCTCCTTCTGTTTCGACCCAATCGCTGGCTCAGGCACAGCCGGACATACCGCCACGTGACTTCGTCTCCCCTCACTGGCGCCAAACCCCACAGTTTTTTCTTTCCCCGCTCAGCACTGGGCCTCGAATTCTTTCCCTCTCTTCCCCCCAGACGGAACTCCAAACCCCAAATATGGATGACGAGAAGGCAAAAGTCAAGAAGAAGGGTGCCACTCACCGCAAGTCTCTTTCTTGCGAATACTGCAGTCGATCGTTTGCCCGCCTGGAGCATCTCCAACGCCATCTCCGCACCCGTTGAGTAACCCCCTCTTACCCAGTTGTCGCTTTCCTTCCCCCTAATGTAGGACAACAGATACCAAAGAGAAACCCTTCTCATGTGATATCTGCTCAAAGTCCTTTGCCCGGAGGTAAGCTTGATCCCATCTCTCATCCAATCATCCAGTCGCTTATATCATTGGTATTCGCAGTGACCTCTTGGTGCGACATGAGCGATTGGTTCATCCAGCCGAAAGTGCGGCCGGTCGTGAACATCGCACGCATAACGGAACCGAGAATAACCACCACGAGATTCCAATTCAGTCGTCCATCATTCAACCTGCCCATCATGAGTCGCGCATGTTAGAGCTGGCCGACGCTATCCCGGTCCATACCCAAGTTCCCCCTCCACCTCCCGAGGTCCAGGTCCAACCACCCCCTATAGTCGAGACTACCCACTTCAATCCCTCCTGGGGGTACGACTTGAACCTCTTATCGCACGCCGCGAGTCATGTTGCCTTGGAAGGTCAACAAGAGAGTCTGGATTCCATCCGCAAATCCTCGCATACAATCGACACCCCGTCCCAACCTCTTCCCCGCCTCCGGAGAGAGCCATCACCGACAATTATGGTGTAGAGCCTTCATTTCTTGACCTCACAGATCTCGGAGACCCCGTTCAAGATTTCACAGTCTTCTTAGAAAGTGTTGGCCTATCATCTGATTGGGACTCGGGGGTCTTCTCCTCAGTTGAGGAGCCCATGTTGCCGCCAGGTCTCTCGATCGACTCGAAACCGCATGTCCGGGATACACCGGCATCTGCACGTCTTGGTGCTGATCTTATGAGTGATGTGCGAGTCCAGGCGGACGATCCACCTTCATTTTCTAATTTCGGATCTCGCTTGCCATCGCTGCAACCCGAGTCCCACGAGATGGAAGATCGCATTGGCCTGTCAGATGATAGCGCACGCCCAGCATGGGATATCACTAATGCCGATCGCCAAATTTTTGTCTCCAAACTGGAGGAATTCTCCTTTGTTCTTCCCAAGGGCTTTGTGCCGCCATCTCGGCATGCCCTGTCCCGGTTTTATGCTGGATACATCAACGGGTTGAATGAACATTTGCCTTTTGTACATGTCCCTACACTTTCAATTGCCAAATGTTCACCGGAGCTCACTCTGGCTACGGCAGCTGCTGGGTCGCACTACCGATTCGAGAACGGTCGGGGGATAGACCTCTTCCACGCTGCGAAAGCCATTTTGTTGGAACGTCTTCGCCGACGAGATAGCAGACAGGTACCGCAGCCATCATGGAACTATATCTCTCCGCCTTCCAATTTTCCCAACTCGCGTGGATCTTCGATTATCTCCAACACCGCGAGTAGTCCATTCCAAACCCATCATATGCCGAACCCCCCTGTGAATGCATCGATCTATACCCCAGATGACTCAGATGCTCACATGGAAGTGATCCGGACATTCTTACTCCTCACTGTGTTTGCTTCCTGGGAGAGGCAACCAGAGCTGTTGCGAGAGATCCTCTCGCTTCAAAGCACACTAGCAAGGCTGGTTCGAGAGCATGGTCTGTCTGAGCCACCCCCAACGCCTGAGCCTATTAGCTGGGAAGAGTGGGTTCGAAGAGAGGGAAATAGACGGACGAAACTGATCGTTTACTGCTTTTTCAACCTCCATTCGATCATGTACAACATACCTCCCATGATCCTCAACGGAGAGTTGAAGCTCAATATGCCCTGCTCGCATGACCTGTGGAAGGCCTCCAATTCAGCGCAGTGGCGACGACTTCACCGTACCCGCCAAGGGTTAGATGTCTCTTTTCCGGATGCATTCGCCCGCCTCTTTCTCAAATCATCTACATCCTTCCCTTCCGCCCCTATATCCCCCCTGGGAAACTACATTCTCATCCATGCTGTCATCCAGCAGATATTCTTTGCCCGACAGCTATGCCTGTCAGCTCCAACTATGAATGGTACTAGCTTAAGACAGGATGATCTTAATGTGCTGGATAACTCTTTGAGTGCTTGGAAGGCATTGTGGAAGCGCACGCCTGAATCCAGCATCGACCCTCAGAATCCTGCTGGTCCCATCGCCTTTACCTCTACTGCACTTTTGGGCCTGGCATATATCCGACTACATGTTGATCTGGGCCCCTGTCGTCACCTCATTACCCAAGACCCTGCACAGATCGCAAGTGCCCTTATCGAGTCACCGCCGATCGTCCGAAGCCCGAGGTTAATCATGGCATTGCTGCACTCAGCTCATGCCCTCTCTATTCCCGTCCGATTGGGAATTGATTTCGTAGCAAGGACACACTCCTTCTTCTGGAGTATCCAACACTCCCTATGCAGTCTGGAATGCGCATTCCTGCTCAGTCGCTGGCTGCTAGCCATTCCCGCAACACAGCCAGAGCAGCGGTTATCTGAGCATGAGCGGAAACTTCTGTCGTGGATCAAGAGCATGATGGATGAAACCGACATGGCTGTTGATCCACCAGGGGCCCCAGACCTTGAGTTCATGGCGAACCCATTTAAGGTTCGTCAGCTTAGTGTTGCCATTGTCCGTGTCTGGGCCCGGACATTCAAGGGCAACACTAGTTGGGCCATTGTTGACCTGGTTGGGTCAAGTTTGGATGCTTATGCGGATCTTTTAGAACACTAAGTATACCTCTCTCAAAATTGCTGGTCTTGGAGTAATTTTGCGCCGCGAATATCCAATTGGCATCTTTGCGGAAACTGTTACTCGACTAATGTGGCATCTCTAATGACGTTGTGACTTCTTTCTCTTATTTTTTGGTTGGACATGATATCTCACGGAGTTCTTTTTGTAAATGCAAGCTTGGAAGGCTTGGGACGCGTTGGTTTGGATAGGTTGGATGGACGAACTTTTCATGCTTGATCTGTATATAAGTATATGACCAGGGAGTGGATCTTCAGACGGGATCTTTATTCTGGACTCGGACTGTTGCCTCTTTCTTAATGATACCTTCAATGGCGATGATTTGAAAATTCAACGGCTACATCTATGGATACCTGCAAGAGCGAAGTATGAGTTTTGTCTAATAAAAGCTCGATTAGATAACATGGTTGATGAATATTGCTTTTAGATTTCTTAAGTCATTATATCATAAGCCACTTGCCTCAAGAATGCTTCTGGGGCGCCTTCGGTCGATTTCTCATCACGCTCGCAGGCACAAACCGGAGTGCTGACATGGATCGTTCTAACTCGTCAATCTCCATGTTATTAGTCTCCTCTTGAGGGATGGGAGCAGGTAGATTAGCCTGTGATACTGAACTGCGACGTCGAAGCCTTCCTTCCTGGGCGGATGAAACGGATGCAGTGGAAAGGCGCCTCCGGTTGCTATTCAGAGGCCGTAGCAGAGATATCTGCTTATCGATTCCATCATTGATGATGTAGAAATTGTAAGTCTGTATTTTGTTTGATTATCGGTTAGTTCGAGATACGACCATCTTTCAGGCGCATTCTAACATACCCTGGGAAACATATGCTTGTCTATCAGATGGAGTCGTCGCTTTTGAGGGGTAGAGCATTTTCGCTCGCAATCCTCGATGAAGCAGCCATACTAATCCGGAACAAGATTGGTCATTAGTATACTTTGCACCATAGATATTATTTCAATAGCCTTTCTTGTATTGCACACTCACAGTCTTCTCCCCCCGCGCCCTCCGGGCTGCCGCGAGGGCATCATGGTTCTCTTCGATATGAAGATTCAAAAAATGACCGGTTGGAAAATTCCTACTGCATTCCGCGCAGCGATTGACATGTGCCTGTTGATAATGCACTTCGTAGTCTTCATGTGAAGCGAAAGACAAGGTCTCGCGATGAGGTGGTAGCGCACAATGCATCGCCTCGATGATGGGGGCCGATTCACCATGAATATATTTGCTGCGCTCCATTGGAGTAACAACGCCCGAAGCTGAGGACCTTGAGTGTGTAGAGGGGGAAGGTGTCCGTGACTCGGAACGACTTCGAGAGCGTTTGGACATAATTGCGGTGTCGGGCCTGTTACGATACAATGCTTCCTTCCCGGGCACGGTAGATATGTGATCGATCCACTTGGCGGGGCTGAGTGCAGCAGAGTGCGGCGAGGGCGCTATGGAGGACCCATTCAGTGTCCAAGCGTAGAAATTGGGGAGAAAGGACAAAGACAAAGAATGAAGTTGGAAATGGGGTGATTCATGCAGAGATCACTCTCTTTTCACATCAGTAACAGCGATGTGTGAGGTGAAGTGAAGGAGGAAGGTATTGTGGAAGCCGCCCGCCAATCAGCGTCGACCCCAGGGGCAATTCCGCCGAAGTACTCCATCGCGCTTTTTCCTTTCAATGATAATCTTCCTCTGCTTCAACTCGACTCGACTCGACCCGATGGCTGGTCCACTCCTACATTCATCTGTTGTCGCTGTAGCCATCTGACCGGCGCGGTCTACGGTGGTTTGACACCGGGGAAAATGGCATCCTTCCAGGATATGTGGCAGTCAGTTCTACCTTACACCTATTCCCCCTCCTTCCTCTCCCAATCCTCCGGAAGTCGGAGGTGGTCGATGTGGACTGTGAACTAAATCTAATCGATCGCGTTTAGGACCGCGCTCAGTGCTGAAAGCGAACTGATGCGATGCCTCACCCAAAAAGAGCCCACCTTCGCTGAAATCTCCCACTTTCTATCCGAGTCAGTCAACGCCGCACACTTCCTAGCATTCACGGCCAGACCCCGTCTAACGCCAGTACTCTCTCCTCTACAGGTTTCGCACCATATGCCAGAATACCATTCTGCTTGACTTTGATACTGCCCGCGACACCGATGTCGAGAGTCGCTTGTGGGAAGCGCATCTAAAAGTGAACAATCGGTTTCGCAAGTTGCTTTCTCGCGTGAGTGTCGGCGGATGGGGGTGGGATAACGCATCGCGCCTATGAACTGACTGGTCCGATTGACATAGTATCGCGAGGAGAACGCAAAGAAAAAGCCGGTAGAGAGACGGAAGCTCGAGAAGCACTACTTGGACTTCATCAAGTCTAGTCAAAGATTCTACCGCGGCTACATCCAACACCTCTCCTCGCATTTCGGCGGCATCGTCGAGCTGGAGGAAGTCGCGCGCAAGTTCAACTTTGAGAGTATGGATCACCCACTCCCCATTCTCGTGCGCCCCACGGATAACACAAGGACTGACTCGGAATATCCTCTAGACTTGTCCGCACAACCTCCCGTTCCCGTAACTCCCGACCTGCACAAGCGTATCCTCCAATCTTGCCATGCGACCCTCATACGCCTCGGCGATCTTTCCCGCTACCGGGAAACCGAGCTCGCCAGTAAGCGCAATTGGGGACCTGCAACTGGATACTATGATCTAGCCTCCGTGGTATACCCCGTCTCTGGTGCGTCGCATAACCAGTTGGCCGTGATCGCCCTTGCCGATGGCAACCATTTTCGAGCGACCTATCATCTCTACCGGGCACTTTCAACCCAAACCCCGCACCCTGCCAAGGGTAACCTTGAAATCGAATTTAAAAAGGTTATGAATTTATGGACCAAGAAGGAGCTGATTCGTCCCGAGGACGCTGGAATCCCAGGCAGAGCCCTCGCTCCCTGGTTTGTCTATCTTCATGCAAAGTGCTACAAGGGAGATGATTTCCCAGAGCATGACGAGCTGGAGAGCGAGGTGATGAGCCAGTTGGCAGTCGAAATTCGAGAACGGTCTCTTGAAGGGACACTCCAGAAATTTTGCCTCATCAATATTGCCGCAGAAGATTTTGCCAGAGCTCGGTCACATGAAGAATCGGTATCAAGCGCGCCTCTATTTTTCCAGCGAATCAATGTGAAGACTTTCTTCACCTTGTTACAAATTCTTCTCGTTGAACTCGAGCGATTTGCAGCTGAAGATTCGAGTACTAGCAGCAAAGATACTGCTAGAAACGGTCCTGACAAGATCACCGGGGTTGCGCGCCGAATTCTTCCAGCTTTGAGACACTATAGCTCTTGGCTCCTTGTCACTAATGAATTCCTCGTTGCACAGAAAGACGAAAAGGATTCGGCACTGTCAATCCAAATTCAGGAATTTTGGAAGATATATGCAGAGACCTTAACTCTTCTTGCGTCTACTTTTGATGTCGCGCAGCTCCCGGAAATCGACTATCTTCTCGAAGATGATGAAGAGAGTCTTGGGTTTGTGCCTCTTGATCAAGCAGCCACCTCCCGCCGGTATATCGGCACGAACGGTCAGCTCAAACCTCGAATGAACGACCCAGGCGGCGAAAGAAGCCATCCGAACATGGAGATGCTCTACAGAATCCGCGAGTTTGTCATAGATGGCCTTGATCTAGTCGTGGGAAACAGAATTCCAATTGCATTGATTGACGATGAGGACAAGAAGACATTCCTCTACCGAGAAGACGGACTGCCAGCCCAATTTTTCTCAAGTCCTCATGGCCATCAGCAGGCTCTCTCAACCCCGATAATCGAACGAGAAGATATTCCTCCCATGGCTCCAGATTCGAACTCTGTCGCTGAAGGCCGCAGCATGTTTGGTGGATCCCAATCCGCATCAGCATCCATGTCGGCTAACATGAATCGTATCGCGGAGGATGTCGAGCGATTGGTTGAGTCTGATACATATGAAAATGCTCCAGATATCTCAGGCCAGTACAACTTCTTAAATGAGCCACGAGATATGCCCACGCCTTCGGCTCCAAGGGTATCCAACATGAGTGCATTCGCCTTCGAACAGCCTACGCCACAACTCAGAACGCCCATTCCACCCCCTGGGCTTGGCCCTCCCAATCCTGGCGCAGCGGAGTCCCTTCGCGCTTCAATTTCTCAGTCCTATTCACCACTTCCAGCTGTACCTGGAATGCCCAGCATCTGGAACACATCGTCACCTGCTCCACTGAGAGAGGGTACATCTCCCCGCACACCTCCCGGTCTGGGCCCACAGCCTCAAATGCATCCCATGGCACCTCCGAATGCCATCATGTCCGATCGATCACCATCTCAAGGCCAGATCGGAAATGATCTTCTCCGACAAAGCATGATGGCGCAAAGTCAATCCTCTGGCTTCTTTGATCTAGTTGGATCGGTGCCTTCTTCGTGGATCCAACCAACCAACATGTCGACGACCCTGCCCCAATCCGCTCCAGGCAACTGGGATGGCAATAACCTGAGCCGAATGAGCTATTCTTCGTATCCCAGCCAACCTCTCTCGGGCGGGTTGCCAAATCAAACATGGGCGAATGAAGCCTTCATTGGCAGCGGTCTCCCAGCAAGCGGCGGACCTTTCAGCTCAGGTTTCGGCGACCACCGCAAATCAGCTGCTCAACTTGAGGCCGTTGGGCAAACTCCCCCTTGTGGACAGGGAGGCTGATCGGGAAGGGTAGATCTGCTTTTATGCAATATTAACACAAAGCATCTACAGGCCAAGCAACCTCGAACCAGCCATCTGAGCGAGAAACATCAACAATGTACAGCACGCAGCTAGACCTTCCCTCCCATGATGGCCTATGTACGCCGTTTCCTCCCAGCTCATCAAAATGCGCATGGGAAACAATACATGGGCTAGCTACTCCATTTTGCACCCCGAGCATAAGAGTTGGCTCTAGTCGTTGCTAATGGCTCTCCGGATAATCACTCTATCCCAGTAACACATACATCCCAATGATTATGAAGCTCTGTTATTTCTCTGAAGGGGAATGGCTCAGGGCATCTGATCTCTCTTGACTCCTCTGTGGCAGCCATGAGTGTGCCTTGTACCTTCTCACTTTATTCTCTCTTTTTTTTCCGAGAAGGACAACGCCTCTGTGCAGGCTGCGCGTTCAACACGCAACATAGTGGGCAGTCGAGACCTGGAAGGTACCCGTTTCCCCCTGTTATGCTTGCAGGACACTTTTAGTACCATCAATTCTTTTTTGGTCTTTTTTTCCCCTTCATGCGAAGAAATTTGTCATTTCTCAAGCAATCCCTTTTTTTACCTTCCTTGATAGCCCTTGTTTTTTTGACCTTTGACTTCGTTGGATAAAATGGATGAATGTCACGAGGCAGCTATTAGGCGGGCCGTATCCAATGAACATCGTAAAGTTTTGTTTCCATTTGAAGCTTCTTTGGCCTAAATCTTAAAACTTGTACTACACTTTAAATACTATACTTCAATAATGCCCATAACTCATCGATTAAACAAATTGTGATATTCATTTATCTTGAATTATTCGTTATTTCGTTGTTGAAAACGGGGTCCATCCAGAACCCGTTCGTTTGGCTACCAGATTTCCCATCCCCAATATTATCATGGTGCTTTAATCACGTTAAGTGTTTCGTAAAGGGACAACTGAAGAATAGGAATAGGAGAGTGGACAGGGTGCCAAAATGACAGAGCCTTGATCTTTTGACGTAAAGTCGTTTTCTCAATGTATAGGAACAGAAAAGGAAATTTGGGTATAGAGGGTTGAATCATCCAGGGTTGAAAGACGCATTGTTCAGTCCAATTGGCTGGGACTGAGCTGCGCCGAGATCTTCCTCGCTAGGTCGATCTATGTGTTGAAAATCTTCATTCAAAATCTATTCTTTTAATGTTGGGAGAATCGTCACCGCTTAAGAGCGAGAGTAGGTCTGCTTGGGGGAGGGGAAGCTACATATCCATGTTAGAATTAAGCAATTTCAGGTCGGGAGATCAAGTGGGAAAACTCACGAAGGTCCAAGCTCCTGGATGCTCTTGCTGGCCAACCACTGACCCATGTCAATGCTGTCCTCAAGAGACTTGCCAGACACAACACCAGCGCAGAAGCCACCGGCGAAAGCATCACTGATAATTCCATCGTTAGTTAAGGACAATTGAGTTTAAGATAGGACGGAGCTTACCCGGCACCGTTGGTGTCGTTGATGGCATCCTTGGAGATCTCGTGGACGTTGAACTGCTTGACCTCAACGCTGCCGTTGGAGGCAATACCGACAACGGTAGGCTCAGTGCCCTGGGTGACGATGGCAACACGGGGACGCTGGGTGTTCTTCTTGGGAAGGAGGGCGAGCTTCTTGGCGATCTCGACAACGTCCTCGGTGCCCCACTCGTGGCTGGCAGCGTAGGCACGAGCCTCGGTCTCGTTACAGAAGGTGTAGTCGGTGTAGGGCAGGACGGTGTCCAGCTGCTCCTTGAAAAATTGGGGAATGAAGGGAGCAGAGAGGGAGAGCATGAAGACCTATAATGTCTATATGTAAATAACTACTCGCATCAGACAGCTGTTGGGTGTTACATACCTTGTTCTTGGCAGCGGCCTCCTCACCGAGAGCCTCGATGGCAGGGACACAGACAGTCAGGTGGTAACCACCGACGTAGTAGAACTGAGCCTTCTCGACGAGAGACCAGACGTGGGGGGGACTGCAAGTGCTCAATCTTGTACTCGTTGGCGGCAGCGAGGTCAGTGCACATGCTGCGGTCGTGGCCAGTGATGACAACACCGCACTTGCCGGTAGGGGTGTTCTCATCGACGCGGTACTCGGTGTGGACACCGGCCTCCTCGCAGGTCTTCTTGAGGATGTCACCGTACTTGTCCTTACCAATGCAGCCAATGTACACGACGGAGTTGTCAGGGAGCATGTACTTGATTGTTTGTCAGTCTCTATTGGTCAAGATATTCAATCAATCGAACACCGATAGCTCCATACCTGGGCACCACGGGCAGTGTTCTGGGCGGCACCACCGGGGATCAGCTTAGCGTCCCGGGCGAGGAGGTCCTCATAGATGCCCATGTGCTGCTTCTCAGCGAGGATAGCATCGTTGGGCTTCAGGCCATACTTCTCGAGAAGAGCGGCATCACTAGACGAAACGTATCAGCAATCGACATCAATAAGACCCCGCCTGATAGAAAAGTCCCATCATACCCACGAGCCTGGATGTCTGGGGAAAGTCAGCAATCTATACACTTCTACCAAAAAGGTAAATGTATCACATACCGAGGAGAGGGTTCTCCAGAGCGAGTAGAGGGTATCCTTGGGGAGCAGCCATTTTGAAGAAATTGAAGATCAAAGTGAATTGAGGGGAAGGGGAAGGGGAAGAAGATGAGGGCTCACCTTGGGAAGTGGGCTGGAGGGGCCATCTTTCTGCCGGGCGGAAGGCCTGCAAGGTTGCCCCCAGACCAGTTAGTATGTGGACGACTCCAGCAACCTCCCCAGACATCCAGATCCAATCCCCGATATCCCATTGACCCACCACCATGTCCAACCCTGCCCTGGAGATTTCGGAAACTATTCAGGCGGCGCATATCCGCTCGAATCCTTCTCCGACTCACGATATCAACCCCTCTACCGCGGCCTCGGAGAAACAGCCCGTTGTTGTTGGCCCTGCTTCCGACGCTGGCAGCCTCCCATCGGACTTTGTTGACCCCAGCCGGGTCATTCGTCCTGTCCGCCGCCGTCAGACGCTTCCTCCCCTACCGGATCTTCGTTTTGAGCAGAGTTACCTTGCCAGTATCAAGGACGCCGATACCTGGGGCCGCGTGGCGTGGATCACTGTCCGTGACCAGGTAAGATATAATGCGGAGAAATTAGGAAACCTGAGCGACGAGAGAAATAAAGGATCATCAATCCTGAAGAATATATCGGGCTAATAGTATTCCCCCTTATGCAGGTTCTCCTCCCTCTCATCCAAGGCACCGTCTGGACTCTCGCGCTCTCGGGGTGGCGTTTCTGGAACCGCAACGCCTCGCTCAGCGGCCAAACTGTCGGCAGCCGAATCCGCAGGTGGTGGTATGATGTCAACAACTGGAAGCTGCCTCCTATGAAATGGACCAAGGATCCTAAGCTGGGTGAGCAAGTTGGAGATGTAAGCAGATCCCTTTCCCTGCCTCCAGTGTTGCAGCCCATTTTGACAGGACATATAGAACTAACGGCGCCGGAGTTCTTGCAGTTTTACGAGGCTCAATTTTCCAACGCGGGGTCCGATTGATAGGCCATGACTTTGACTTGGCAGCATGACAAGGGCCTTGACGGACCATAACCTGCTTCCCCCCTCTAGCATCATAAAGGCGTTTGGTATTTTCTTGATTTATGGCTTAACAGGTGAAGCCTCTGTTCGATATCCCACTCCTAGACTAGGTCTTTTTCTTGATCTTTGATCAAAAATGCGTGTACTACTCTTTACATTTGAAAGTCAATGGTACATATACACTGGCGCTGCCACTTTTTTGTAGCAATAGCATTACAAAGCTATGATATCAATCAAGATTCGGAAATTCGGTATCATTTTCAATTGGAATCTTTCCGCGTCTATTCACAACCCCAAGTCGCAGCAAGAGAACAACTATCAATACTATTCCAAGCAAACTCCGATTCCAGGCTGGAATCATCTGGTAAAGGTCTCCTTCGAGTGCAGGCAGTATGCACTTGCCGAGTCGAATTTCAGCTTTGGTCGGTTATGTTTGGGGCAACACAGCTCCAGATTGGCCTCCAGTACCAAAGTTGGGACGAATTGGGCCATTTGATTCAGCTATAATGTTGATGCTGTTGGGTTGGTCGGCCGGTGCAGGAGCCGGTGGCCCAGTCGATACCAGCGTAGCAGATGCTGCCAAATGTGCCTGTTGAGATGCAGGCGCAGGAGAAACGGATGAAGGCGCCTCGGTTGACTGCACTGGCTGTGCTGGCTCCGACGGGTTCAACATGGACTCTGGAGCGTAGTTTGGGCGGGGTTGTGGTACAGAAGCAGATGAAGTTGTCGGTATCTCGACTTTAATCATTTCATTCTGCGGAGAGCGTTGACCAGGAGGAGGCTCATCGACTGGAACAGGACTAGACGGCACTTTGCCTTTGCCATACCGAAGCTGGACAACAAGGCTATGCGGTTCTCCGTTCACAACTGATTCATCGCCACTCGCAGCTTCTCCTTCATCGTCTCCCTCCATGATGTTGTCATCATCATGATCCCCGTCCTTCCAATCATTTCCGCTCTCATTTCCATTCGATGCGCCATCTGATTCGTCTTCTATGTCGCCAGCCCCATAACCGGAATAGCCATTAGGATGAGTAGAAGTGCGAGCTCGCTGCGGTCTCGTTTTGTCTTCAGCCTCGTCTTCGGAATCTTCGCGCTGGCCGGTCAGCAAGGCCTCTCCATAAAGCCCTCCGGCACGGGACCGTATCTGTCGGCCACTAGCAGTAAAACGAGGTCGAGATGGTTCAGCCGGCGTCACTGTAGTCGAAGTATTGCGAGCAGATCTTCTAGAGGGGCCTTCGTCTGAGAGAAAATCTTCTTCGTCAGAGTATGTATACTTTGTCTTTTTCCCGCGAGTTCGACCCTCGTACAAAGAGAATCCAGGCTCCGGGCGGGCGAATGCAGCTTTGCGTGCAAGACGGTAGTCGCGACGCTTACGTTTCTAAGGAATTGTCAATCCAGCCCCATTTTCTGCTCTAGGCAATCAATCAACTTACCTCTTCTGAAGCCTCGAAGCGGGGAATCGCGGTCTGGATCCTCTCGCTGAGCTTCTTGGAGTTTGTGCCCTTCTCTTCATGCAGTCTATCGGCTATAACCTGCAACTCTGGGATATCTCCAGCAACACTCCACCAACTGACATGTTTAAGAGCTGGGTTACTTTCCCTGTATAGACGAAAGTGGGTATCGTCCATGCCTTCAATCAGCCAGTATCGGCGCTTCAAGCTATCGCGACCCCATGGTTGAACGGACAAAGGCTGGTTGAGGTCGTCATCATGGCGGGCTTGCTTGTAGGATTCCTTCAGTTTGGCTTGAATCGCTTCGGATGACGAGAGGGACCAAAGAGCCAAGGATCTCAAAAGTTCGATCTAAGAGAGCATCATATTAGAATCAAAATCCAAGGTTTTGCCGACGATGTGGCAACATACACGTTCTTCCGGCATCATTGTCGCAAAGGTGCGACCCCCCGAAAGGGGACTCTTGCCTGCCCATAGCTTGGGCCACTGTGACTGGTGTGTTTGAATCGCCTCCTCCAGCGGCCGTGTATAGTGGTTTCGCCTGCATCAGCGAGAGATCGGATTAGCGATTGCTGTTACGATCAATTGGCAGGCGACGATCTAAAGCGCATGTCTTGGAGGGTGCTGCGCGGGATTGGGCATTGGGTGGCGACCATACTCAACATCCTTCTTGCGGTTCAAAACAAGACCAAGCAATGCGCAAAGCAGTCGCTCAATATAGTCTCCGGGTGGGTTGTCTACAGCTCCTCGTTCGATATCTTGTGGACCGTAATGTGGCAGTGACTTGGGGAAGGCTTCGTCGAAGCGCGCGCGGAACATCACGATGAACTAAATATTGCGACAGTTTAGCAAACGTGTTATCGAATGAGGCGAACGCGTCGTGGACGTGTCTATTGACGCGAAATAGGGAGTCAATTGTTCAGCCAAGTGCCAACTCACAGGAATATTTGGGTTGTCCGCAATAACGTATTCATGCGGTGGTGACGGCTCTCGTTTGGGTGGCGGAGTCGACGACTCCTTCTTGAAGTACTTTGCGATGCCCATAGGCTTGTCGACCTCCATGGCTGTTTCGTCGTCTGTCGGCGGTGCCGACGATAATGATGAAGAGTCTGAGTCTGAGGGTGCCATGTTGGAAGGTGGAAGGGGTGGTTGTGAAGGTCAAAGGTTTAAAGTTGGGGAAGCCGCGTACGAGTAGAAAGAGGAAGGCGCGATGGTCACGTCGGGAATGGCTGCGCCCGCACGTCGACCATAGTTAGTACTACTAGTACTAGTAGTAGTAGTATCATTCAAGTTGTCATTTGACCCTGCGGCTTCATTCCCCACGTAATTGTTCTAGTGGTTTTAGATTTCAAAGTGATTTGTTTTTCTCTGACAATGCATGGCCGGAATCACAAGGAACTCAACTACAGATCGAGTATCAAATGCAATAATTATAGATATTAAGCTGTCCTATATACATCCTCGGCTTAGACTCTACAAGTTACAAAGTGTGAAGACAGGCCGTATCAATGAATGAACTGAACTCTGGGATAAATTTTAAGAGTAGGTATATCATAAATATACTAGAAGAGAAATATAGTATATCCTGTAGGTCCTGGTATCTCGTTGGACTCTTTCTGATCTCTTTATAAAGTAGTACATTGATACAACCTAGCCAAGCAAGCCTGCACGGTCACTGCGTCAGGGCTACGATGGGGGTCACGTGTAATTATGTCAGCTCCAACCCCAGCTACTTTAGGTGATACCCTGAACACAATTATCGGCTTCAGGCCTGGGAAATAATTAAGTTCATTATAAAAAATATATATTCTGTGACTTTCACGTAATTCCTGTATCTATCGCAATACTACAATCCTCCCATTTCAACCAAGTTCTCTGGAATGAGAATGGATCTCGCTAAAGTCAAATCGGGTTTAGCCTATACTGCTTACCTCAGCGCACCCAATTCCAATTTCCCACAATGGGGCATTCTCCATTGATTCGATTTCTCATCCTCCCACGACAAGCCTATCTTCAATTCGAGGTACGACCTTTCCCTACCACACGACTCCGTCAACATCGGAACTCGACTGTCAACTGCAAGATACTAACCTCTCACACAGACAGTCGCCATGGGTCGCGTTATCCGCAACCAGAGGAAGGGCCGTGGCTCCATTTTCAGTGAGTTCGACCGCAACAACCTATCCAGCCCACCCAATCCATTCGCGCACAGTTTTTCGTTCGGCTTTACACACAGGACAGCCAGGAGAAATGGAAACGCCAGGACACCCCGCAAGAAAGAGGAATTGGAATACTGATCTTGAATTTTTTCTTCACCTGCAGCGGCCAACACCCGCCTGAACAAGACCCCCGCCCAGTTCCGCACTCTCGACTTCGCTGAGCGTCACGGATACACCCGTGGTGTTGTCAAGGAGATCATTCACGATGCCGGTCGTGGTGCTCCCCTCGCCAAGGTCCAGTTCCGCCACCCCTACAAGTTCAAGATGGTGACCGAGACCTTCATCGCCAACGAGGGCATGTACACCGGCCAGTTCATCTACGCCGGTAAGAACGCCCAGCTCACCGTCGGAAACGTCCTGCCCCTTGGCTCCATGCCCGAGGGTACCGTCGTCTCCAACGTCGAGGAGAAGTCCGGTGACCGTGGTGCGCTCGGCCGTACCTCCGGTAACTACGTTACCGTCATTGGCCACAACCCCGAGGAAGGCAAGACCCGTGTCAAGCTGCCCTCCGGTGCCAAGAAGGTCATCAAGAACACCGCCCGTGGTATGGTTGGTATCGTCGCCGGTGGTGGCCGTACCGACAAGCCCCTGCTCAAGGCTTCTCGCGCCAAGCACAAGTTCGCTGTCAAGCGCAACTCTTGGCCCAAGACTCGTGGTGTTGCCATGAACCCCGTCGATCACGTAAGTTGCGCTCCATTACCCTGGCTCGCTATTCACTGCAGTCTCTCTAACCAGTCTTCTTCCTACAGCCTCACGGTGGTGGTAACCACCAGCATATCGGTAAGGCCTCGACCATCTCCCGCTACGCCACCCAGGGTCAAAAGGCCGGTCTCATTGCCGCCCGCAGAACCGGTCTGCTCCGTGGTACCCAGAAGACCAAGGATTAAGCGTGATATTACGTGGAGTTTTCTTTGTGACGGGTTGAAAATGGACTTCTGCTATGAGACACATGTACTTAGGCGAGTGCGGATAAGCGTCCCATGCGCCCTTAGCGAATTAAGGTTGTGGCCACCATCTTTTTCATTTATCAAATTCGAAAAGGTGATGGAATGGGGTCCGAAGCTGGCCTCATGTCAAGGCAGAACGGAAAAGTCAAAAAGCCCCTTTGGGGGACTGGAAATGATACACCTTTGAAATTCATCTGTCCTTGGTCACCCTGTAGATCTACGTAGTAGTGCATGTGCAACTACTCAGGCTTGTCGGGATGCCTGGCGGTTCGAGATATACGCCCTTTTATCTCGAGATTGCTCAATGCCAAGGTCATGGCTACCTCCTTGGAAGCCCTCGGTAGTAAGTAGCATCTGATACGTGAGGCTTTGCCATTGGCATCTAAGGCGAGCATGATCAATGTACGACTGGTGACGGTCTGGCGACATATTTACCTAGGTACTGTTTTGAGATCTGCCTGGGCAGATGATTGCAGGGGCACTTCCCCCTTTACTGCCCTAATACTCGCCTACCATCAGAACTTGAAGGGAGTCAACAACTACTGGCAAATGTCATAGTACTACATGCAAGTGGGCTTGGCAGTAATAACTTTATCACCAGTATCTTCAAGCTCCAAAACTGCCCCGTGGGTGGATGAATTTCCTTGCGGATTCAGGTGATGGCCCATGTCGATGAGGGCATGATTGAATATATATAGAGTCCGCTCTAAATACGAGTACCACAAAACTTGACAACTACTAGTAGAACTTGAACTTAAATACAAAATTTCTAGTGAGATAAAAGTCACGCCTGTTCAATAAAGCCCAAGGGTTCGAATCAGCCATTGAAAATAATTGGAATGATGGTTCAAGATATCTACCAAGTTAAATTGGTTTACAGTATTCTCTCAAGAGTTGGTTGGGCGTGCCGCTGATTGGCCAGTTTGAGATCAAGGCAGAGCCACCAAGCTTTGGTTCGCCCGCCGGTATTTCATCTTTTAATCTGCCAGTGCCCAGCTCAAGATGATGTCCTAGATACAACTATCTCCTAGGTACGGATGCAAGGCATCGAATCCTCAGATATGACTTCCACGCATACCTCCCGACAAAAGATTCCCCGCCTCAGCCGATCAAACGATGTGCTCACCTCCGCGCAACGGTGGCAAGCCGTAGTCAAGCGTGACGCAACAGTCGACAGTTTCGTCTACGCAGTCCTAACTACCAAGATATACTGTCGCCCCTCGTGTTCCGCCCGGCTGGCCCGGCGCGCGAACGTGGAATTCCACGACACGCCATCGCAGGCCGAGAACGCAGGGTTTCGACCCTGTAAGCGCTGCCGGCCACAATCGGGACGAACGGCGGCTCAAAGCAATCCACAAACCGCCATAGTCTACAAGGCATGCGAGCAGATACGCGACGAGCTAGCAGCAGGGCTGAAACCGCGGCTTCAAGATTTGGCGGCGCAGGCTGGCCTGACGTCGTGTCATTTCCATCGTGTCTTTAAAAAACATACGGGCGTGACGCCTGGGACGTATGCTAGTGGTCTTATTGGAAGCAACACCACGCGGCCTTCATCTTCGCCGGATGTCTCGACTCCTGATACACTGTCTGAATTTGAAACATCGCATGACGGGTCGGGGATGGAGAGGAGGAAGGAGGGGAAACTGAATTTAGACATGGGGGATTCTTTGGTGCCGCCCATGGCTGGTCTGTTGGCGGTTGGGTCTCCTATGAGCATGGATCCTAGCTGGGGGGAGTGGAATGAGTTTGATATCTTGTTGGCTGCTGAGTCGGAGCAGATGTCACCGCGGGACGTTTTGTCGATAGACCCCCGCATGCTCTCGACGTGACATTCGGAGATGTATATTGGTAATGGAGTACGGATACGCAGGATGGGGAGATGAACATCAGTGCATCGTTTACCGTGTTTAATTCGGTTGGACCCCTCATCCGGCCAATCACTTTGTTGGGACATGACTTTATGATGGATGCAAATGAACAATCAATATAATGTGGAGTCACTCTGGAAGTAGCCCACCAGTCTGAACCTTGTAGGCAACACAGTGCGCCAAGGGGTACACGGAAGAGCAAAGTACTGATTCCACCAAAGTCAATGGATTAGATCGACGTGGCTTTGGCATCGCCACCACAAAGTGTACCCGGCAAGGAGGAGAACTGAAACACTGAAACACCGAGGCAACCAAGGAAAAGGGTAAGGAGGAGGCTCCGTGCACGCCGGGTGCGTACGACAATGAGGGGCCCGGGGGGGGGGGGGGGTTTGGGTGAATGCGATCGGCCAGCCTGTCATGATTGATCTTCTCCATTGGTACATCATTGTGGTGGACTGCAGATCGTCTCTGCACGGGACAGTACCTATGTACACATGTACATGTACATCCAGCTGGACCCTGTTCCTCTGTGGCGAGACTCAATTCCAACCGGGAAGAGACATGATAATTATAGCATGGATGATCCGGGCAGGTTTCCTGGTCTTCCAATTGGAATGATGTCGCTCCACTGTCGCCCCACCAACGCGTGTCACAGCTTTAGCCGCTGTCGAGGCCTGGACTTTTCAAACAATGTGTTCGTGTCTCAGGATGAAAGACACTAGGAAGAGTAACCATAATGGGGAAAGAAGACACGAGAGCAAAAGGGGCTGTACTGTAGATGGGCGAAATACTGTAAAGCAGAAAGAACTAATACTGCAAGACCAAATATGGTAACCCCCTGTTAGATTATCGTATCAACATAGGCCAGAACCGATGGCATTCCCCACCGATCGACACCGTCTATTGTACATCTGCATGCAGTGAAACACACTGGGGGATTCCAGAAACTTTTGGTGGCGCTAATCATTTTCAATGGGGGGTTGGCTGGCTTTGGGCTTTAATTTGATTAATTTTAGGCTGTTTGGCCATTTTCATCGAGGGGCCTCCTTCCTTTCCAATCTTCTTCTTCTTCTTCTTCTCCACTCCCCTTCCCCTTAGATCGCTTTGCTATTCTTCTCTCGCTGCTTGCTCGATTCCCTTCCTCTTCTCACATTCTCTCTAAAATCACGAGGACAACACCCCATCCGGCTTCACTCTCCTCACTCTCGTGACCCGATTCGGCTTTCATCCCAACCCCCTCCCAACCACCTTCTCGATTGTGATCCAAACCCACCATGCACGTCAACAAGAGAATCGGCCGCCTCAAGCAATGGGCAGGTGAGCGCATGGGCGGAGAAGTCAAGACGAATGTCACCGATGACTTTAAGGCCATGGAGACGGAGATGGGCGTGCGACATGAAGGTAAGAGGAGACGAACACCCATTCTCAGGAGCGACACTAATATCTTGTCATAGGCGTTGATCGCATTCACAAGTCCATGACCTCATACGTCAAAGCCATTTCGAAGCGCAACGAAGGAGATGACAAGGAGAAAACCCTCCCCGTGGCTCACCTGGGCACCAGCATGGTTAGCCATGGAGAGGATTTTGACGGGAACTCTGAATACGGCCAGTGCCTGACCAGTATGTCGCAACATCAGCTCCTCCCGAAACCACAATAAAGGTAGCTAACACATGTGCTAGTGTTTGGAAGAACCGAGGAGCGCATCGCTCGCATTCAAGAGAACTACATTGGACAGGCGACCTCAAGCTGGCTTGAATCCCTCGAAAGATCTCTGACCCAGATGAAAGACTACCAACAGGCTCGGAAGAAGCTTGATAGCCGCCGGTTGGCTTATGATACTTCTCTTTCCAAGATGGAGAAGGCAAAGAGGGAGGACTTCCGGGTTGAAGAAGAGCTGCGCTCTCAAAAGGTGAAGTACGAGGAAGCCAGTGACGACGTGATCCGCCGGATGCAGGACATCAAAGAGGCGGAAGTTGATAATGTTATGGACATGGGGGCATTCCTGGATGCCCAGCTTGAATACCATGAGCGGTGCCGTGAAGCACTTGTTCAATTAAAGAACGAGTGGCCTGGAGGGTGAGTACCTTGGATTGATTTGTCTTCAAGTTGAGCCTTGCTAACACTGGAAAGTTCTGGCCGGGGACCGTCGCCAGCCCGTCGCACTACACGAGCTCGTTCCAACACTGCACATTCATACCAGGAACGATATGACCCTGTGCAGGAGGAACTGACAAGTGCCGTGGAGACTCGTCCTACTATCCGATCCAGTAAAACGATTATGTCGGAAATGCCTACAAGGGAGCTTCATCCAAACAATGGATTCCCCCGACCAGTCCTCAGCCGAACACCTACTTTCGAAGGCCCCTCACAGCTACGCCATGAACAGACTCCGGTAGCATCGCAATGGATCCAACGAACCACCAGCGATAGCTTGGCAGGACAGAGAAACGTTCCCGCGTCGGGACGACCTTTCGCTAGTGATCCCTATGCCGACTCCGAGGTCAGCTCCTATGGTCGATCCAGTCCCGAGCGTAGCTACGGCGCTCGATCTAGTTCGCCAGCAACATCACATGGAAGCGTGGCATCCCGACGACCGAGCGCAACAGCATTGAATAGCGGAACATTGACCAAGAAAGCACCTCCTCCCCCTCCTCCATCTCGATCCAAGAAGCCCCCGCCTCCTCCCCCACCGATGAAGCGGACTTTACTCGCGGCGACGGATGCGTAGATTGAATGGGAGGATTGGTGAATTGAATGGAATTTGCATTTGATTAGTTTTCTCGAGCAAAGGGGTTTGGGAGTTTTAGTTGATTTGGATGGGATGAGTGGGATTGTCTTTATTGATGTGATTGCTATTTGCGGTGGCATTATTGCGGTTTAATGACAGTGTTAGTGTCAGTGTCCCAGGTACCCTTTGCTCTACTCCACCCCGTAATCCGTAGCGTATTCGTATAGATATATTGCAGCCTGAGTGCCTGAGTGCCTTACCTTGCTGCCTGGTACCACAAATGCGCAGACGGCAGTACTACTCCGCCCGCACTCAGGTGACCACCTCCCCGATCCCGTGACTCCTCGCCACTCCGTTGTAACGGCTGTCCAATTCTTCTCTTCTCTGAGAGCACCAGGTTTCCCCGAGCGAGTCGCGCAAATCGGTCCCCCCCATCGTACCCCATCCATCCACTTCGCCCTCCCCCCATTCGCGTCGCGTTGGGTGTCGCTTGACCACTAGGACGTGGTCTCTTCCGCCCTTTAATTCGCCTTCTTTGATTCCCCTTTCATTCCTACCATTCCACCTGGTACCCGCCCCCCCATACTCCATCGATCGCATCCTCGGAGCTCCGACCACGGGCCCCAAACATCACGCTTCTCATCGCCAAGAGGCTCGACGAACACTTTTTCGTCGCCTCTCCCCTCCACCGGCCCTCCCCCGTCGCGCCCACACCCCTCCCTGATCGCGCTTCCCACCCCCTTCTCTTCCTGACGCGACCGGGTGTTTCCCCCAGTGGAGCCCGTGAACCCCCCCAGCTCAGATCAGCTTCGACGCATTGAACCCACCCCAACGCGTGTCCAATTCACTTATGAATTAAAGTAATACGCGCAAACAAGATGGCTTCGCTGCAGTCGGCGCCTGCTATGGCGCCCGGCAACATGGGATTGCCACCAAACCTGACCCAGCAGCACATCCAGGAGGCTCTGCAGGTTCGTCCCCATTCCCAATTTACAACGAAAGCTTCCACCACCATTGCTTTAAATATTGGTCTTGATCGCGTCTAACATTTTTTGTAGAAATTTAAGCAGATGCAAGAGCAGGGTGTCCCCCATGACAACCCAGAGTACCTAAAGTATCATAACCTGCTCTCGGCTGTCCAGCGCCAGCAAATGTTCCAAAAACAAAAGATGGCCGCGCAACAACGCCAGCAACAACAACAACAACAACAACAACAGCAGCAGCAGCAGCAACAGCAGCAGCAGCAGCCACAACAGGGACAGATTAATGGTGCTGCTACTGGCCCTGATCCTGCCACCAATGGTGCTCATGGTGCGTTATTATCACGTTGATTTTGCATTCTTCTTGCTTTATTATTCCCAAATTAACACGGCTCTTTTCTAGGCCGTACTGCCTCTACCTCTTCTGTGACTGGCCCGGCCAATGATGCGAATGCCACCCGCAAGCCCGCCACTGTTGGAAGCGGAAGCTTTTCGCCCGAGCAACTTGCCATTCTCCGGAACCAGATCTTCGCTTTCAAGAAGCTTTCCAAGAACGAGCTCATCCCTCCCGCTCTTCGCCAGCAGCTCTTTGCAGCAAAGAAGTTCCACACCCCTACCCCAACAGAGAATGTTTCTGTTGCAGAGAAACTCGTTGAAAATGCCGACAAAGCCACCCCCGAGACGGCTCCCGCCCAAGCAGAAAGCGATATTCTCACAAAAGAATGGTACAGCAGCTACGAAGTACCCGAGAAGATACTGGGAAAGATCTCATACCGGGATCACGCCGTTTTGAAAAAGCGCGGGCGTATTCCCGCCTTTTCTACTACCTTCCTTGATCGAGTTTCGATTGACGAAGACCGAGAAGTCGCGCGCTACAATCGCATGACTAGCCGTGCCAAGACCATCCAGGAACTTCCTGTCAACATTGGTATTTGGGACGCCGACAAGAGCGATGCCCCGAGCAGCGACTCCGCGGCGAATACCGCTCTTCTTATCGAGTACAAATCCTTGAGCCTGTTTGAACGCCAACGGGTGCTTCGCGATAAGCTTCGACGCGCCATTGCGCATGACAGGAATCAAGTGAACACTGCACAGCAGCGCCGCATGAAGAGGCCATCTCTTCGCGAGGCCCGAATTACCGAGAAGCTTGAGGCTCAGCAACGTTCTGCTCGCGAATCAAGGGAGAAAGAGAAGCAGAATGCTCAGCTGCAAGCCCTCTTCAACCATCGTATGGCCCTTGTTCAGGCTGCCGATAGCACTCGGTCCCGTATTGATAAGCTGGGTCGTACTATGTTGTCGCACCAGCAGTTCATGGAGCGAGAGGAGCAGAAGCGCGTGGAGCGCACTGCTAAGCAGCGTCTCCAGGCCCTGAAGGCTAACGATGAAGAGACTTACATGAAGTTGCTCGGACAGGCCAAGAACTCCCGTCTAGACCACCTGGTCGGCCAGACCAACAAGTGGATGCGCCAGCTCAAGGGTAGTGTCCGTGAGCAGCAAGGAAGAGGCGCAGCGGAGGAGGCCGACGATGATGGATCCGGCGACGATGAGACCAACGATTATTACGAGGTCGCTCACACTGTGAAGGAAGAGGTCACCGAACAGCCGAAGATCCTTGTTGGCGGTACCCTCAAGGAATACCAGATCAAGGGTCTCCAGTGGATGATTTCGTTGTACAACAATAACCTGAACGGTATTCTTGCCGACGAGATGGGTCTTGGAAAGACCATTCAGACAATCAGTTTGATCACCCATATTATCGAAAAGAAGCAGAATAACGGCCCATTCTTGGTTATTGTGCCCCTTAGTACATTGACCAACTGGAATATCGAGTTCGACAAATGGGCACCCGCAGTCAGCAAGGTTGTTTACAAGGGCCCCCCGAATGCTCGCAAGCAGCAGCAGCAGCAGATTCGCTGGGGCAACTTCCAAGTTCTCCTGACAACCTACGAATACATCATCAAGGATCGTCCACTCCTCAGCAAGATCAAGTGGACTCACATGATAATTGACGAGGGTCATCGAATGAAGAATGCCAATTCGAAGCTCAGCAGTACTCTGGCCCAGTATTACAACAGTCGCTTCCGTTTGATTTTGACCGGTACACCGTTACAAAACAACCTGCCTGAATTGTGGGCATTGTTGAACTTCGTTTTGCCGAAGATCTTCAAATCCGTGTCGTCTTTTGATGAATGGTTCAACACGCCGTTCGCTAATACTGGTGGTCAAGACCGCATTGATCTGACCGAGGAAGAACAGTTGCTTGTCATTCGTCGTCTGCATAAGGTTCTCCGTCCTTTCCTGCTCCGTCGTCTCAAGAAGGATGTCGAGAAGGACCTGCCAGACAAGCAAGAGCGTGTCATCAAGTGTCGCTTCTCTGCTCTACAGGCTAAGCTGTACAAGCAGCTTGTCACTCACAACAAGATGGTAGTTAGCGATGGCAAAGGCGGCAAGACCGGCATGCGTGGTCTCAGTAACATGCTGATGCAGCTTCGAAAATTGTGCAACCATCCTTTTGTCTTCGAGCCCGTGGAAGATCAGATGAACCCTACTCGCATGTCAAATGACCTCCTTTGGCGTACGGCAGGAAAATTTGAATTGCTTGATCGCATTCTGCCCAAGTTCCGTGCCACTGGCCACAGAGTCCTTATGTTCTTCCAGATGACTCAAATTATGAACATCATGGAGGACTTCCTTCGCTTCCGTGGTATGAAGTATCTTCGTTTGGATGGTGCCACCAAGTCCGATGATCGATCTGACCTTCTGAAACAATTCAATGCTCCTGGTTCGGAGTATTTTTGCTTCCTTCTTTCGACACGTGCCGGTGGTCTGGGTCTGAACTTGCAATCTGCCGATACTGTCATCATTTATGATTCTGATTGGAATCCCCATCAAGATTTGCAGGCACAAGATCGTGCCCATCGTATTGGACAGAAGAACGAAGTCCGCATTTTGCGATTGATCAGTTCCAACTCCGTTGAAGAGAAGATCTTGGAGCGAGCCCAGTTCAAGCTTGACATGGATGGCAAGGTCATTCAAGCCGGAAAGTTCGACAACAAGTCCACCAACGAGGAGCGAGACGCACTTCTTCGGACACTGTTGGAAACGGCAGAAGCAGCCGACCAAGTTGGAGAGCAAGATGAAATGGATGACGATGATCTGAATGAAATCATGTCACGCGCCGAAGGCGAAGTAGCCATCTTCCAGCAAATCGACAAAGAAAGGGCGGCCAATGATGCATATGGACCTGGTCACCGTTACCCTCGCTTGATGTGTGAAGATGAGCTACCGGATATCTACATGCAGGAAGACAATCCTGTCGAGGAGGTTACCGAGACAGAGGTGTACGGTCGTGGAGCTCGTGAGCGCAAAATCACAAGATACGATGATGGGCTGTCCGAGCTTCAGTTCCTGAGAGCGGTCGATGCCATGGAAGGTGGCGAGGAAGATGCACCGACTTTAGACGAGGTCGTTGAGGAGAATGCCCGTCGTGCCGCCGAGAAAGTAGCCAACAAAGAAAAGAGAAAGAAGAGGGCTTCGGGTGTTGTCGAATCTTCCCCCGATCCGTCAATTGAAGATTCAGAAACCCCCAAGAAGAAGCGTCGCCGTGGCCCCCCGCCCAAGCGCAAGGCAGATGAAGTTGCTGAAGAGACCCCGCAGCCCAAGCGCAAGCGTGGTCGCCAACCGAAGATTCCAGACACTCTGAGCAGCTCCGACCGTGCTACCCTGAACCGCATTGTTTCCAGCGTCCTTCAGTCGCTCAAGGATATGGAGCAGGAAATCCCTGCCGAGTCATCCGATAGCGAGGAGGGCCCAATGGTGCGGGCAATCATCGATCCATTCATGAAACCTCCACCCCGCTCGCAATATCCCGATTATTACATGATCATCAAGAACCCTATTGCAGTAGACACAATTGAGAAGAAGATCAAGCGGGATGACTATCAAAACTTGAGGGAGTTCCGGGATGACGTTCACCTGCTTTGCCAGAATGCCAGGACGTACAACGAAGACGGCAGTCTCTTGTACCAAGATGCCAATGATATCGAAGTGAGTGACCATATCTAAAACACTATGACACAAAAATGATCATTTTGCTAATCATGAAAAACAGGACAAGTGTGTGATGGAATTGAAGAAGCTAACGGAGGGTCATCCTGAGTTTGCAAACTTCGATGACCCTTTGTCTGTCCTTGGCGATGGCCAGTCAACCGGCATCGCCTCCGGAGCCGATACCCCCTTGACTGCCAGCACACCTGGCCAGCCAAAGATTAAGCTCACATTCAACAACTCCAACTTCGACAGCGCCAGCACCCTAAACGGAACTGACCCTGATGTCGATGAAGAATGATGAGCAATTGCTGTCTTCGATGTCTATTTTTTTTTTTTTTACGCCTCATGTGCTAGCCATGTTTTCTTCTCCTTGGAGTTTCCTTTTTGACATCGAGAGATTAAGTGTTTCGACTGTTCTGCGGTCTGGAAGGGGCGTTTCCGTGAGTATTTGGGTTGGATGAACCCGGAAAAGGATGTGCAAAGGGTGGGAGCCTGTGTTTTCTCTCAGATCAGCGTCTCATCGGGGGTTTCCTCTTGGCTAGATGGAGTCTAGATATCGGCCAGAGACGCGCCCCCAAATATGTTTCAAATATGTACCTTTAGTTACTCGGTCACGGGATTCAAATACATTGGATCAAGTTAAATTTCTTCAAGTTTTCTTTCTACTGTCTTTCTTCTCAGCGGTTCGCAGTACGAGTAACCTTCTAGGGACATTCCAGGTTCGCGGGTGGGTCGACTGCTGCAACAAGCTGCTGCCAGTGACGGTTGCAGGCAGTCTCTCACCGAGTTTTCGGCTGCAGTACTACAATACCTAGCTCGCATAAATTGGCAGATACCCCGCGATTCTACAACAAATAATCACTTCATCATGACTATTATGTCAAACAACAAAGATCTGACCGGCAAAGTTGCTATCGGTACTCCACTTGAAGCCCACCCAACCCCTAAACTCGAAGCTACCACCACCCATCAAAACACACAGATACTAACAAAATCCTACTTACACAGTCACCGGCTCCAGCCGTGGCATCGGCGCCTCAATAATTCTCAAGTTCGCCTCACGGGGCGCAGATGTCGCAATAAACTACATTTCATCCAAGGAAGCCGCCGAATCCGTCGCAGCCCAAGCCCGCGCATATGGCGTTCGCGCCATAACCCTCAAAGCCGACGTATCAAGCGAGACCGAAGTACCAGCGATGTTCGAGACCCTGATGAAAGATTCGGCCGTCTCGATATCGTCGTCAGTAACTCCGGCATCGAGCATTTCGGCTCCTTGACCGAAGTGACGGGTGCCGACATCGATGCCGTTTTCGCGGTTAATGTCAAGGGGCAATATTTTGTTGCTCAGCAGGCGTATAAGCATATGGCGGATTTTGGGAGAGTTATGCTTACATCGTCTATCTCTGCTGTGAAGGTGAGTAGTAGAGTACACCTCGGTGATAGAGTAGTGCTGGGATATTCTGAGATACTGACTCCTCTCGCAGGGCGTTCCTGAGACATGCAGTCTATGCAGCTTCTAAAGCCGCCGTTCAGGGAATGACTAAGTGTCTTGCAGTGGATTTTGGACCGCGCAATATCACGGTGAACTGCATTGCTGCTGGTGGCGTGAAGACTGACATGTATACTGAAATGTCCGCGAAGTACATTCCCGGCGGAGCGGATATGAGTGAAGGCGAGATTGAAGCCATGTTGTCGAAGTGGTCGCCACTTGGTCGAGTTGGACTTCCGGAGGATGTGTCTGGTGTTGCCGCATTGATTGCTAGTCCCGATTCTCAATGGTTGACTGGTCAGACGTTCCAAGTATCGGGTGGAGCGTATATGGTTTAGAGGTTGGTGCCTGAGAGGGAATTCTTTTCAAAAAGAAATTCATTTTCAGACTAGACAAATCTCGGGTTATCTATAATAATGGCAGATTCTCTGCAATACCTCAGACTATAAGTACGATTAGTCCTAACAAGGTCTAGGCCACAGGGATGTGCCTAACACTTTCACTTTGTCTGACCATGGGAACGACTATCAACCCTGCCCAGGAAGTAACAAATTCTTATGCTGGCCATTGAATCAAAAGCTTTCGTAACCCCCGGGCCCCCCACCTGCCACAAGCGCCCCAATCAGCGAATAGAGGGGATTCAAAAAGGATTTGGCCCCATCGATCCCTCGCGACTTCGAGCCTTCTAAGTAGCAAAATAAGCCTCTTCAATACAGATCCTGCTGCTGCAATCCAAAAAGAAAAGTCGACCGGTAAACGGTAGCTCTAGCGGGATGTCTTCGACTTCTCACGAGGTTAACATCGTCCTCGTAGGTGATGCGGGGGTGGGAAAGGTAGCAGAAATTGCCCGCATTGCCCGTCTGTTGCTAATACCAACCAGAGCTGCTTCATTAGAAAACATCAAACTGGTGAATTTTCTCATGACTACACACCTACTATGGATTTTCAGTCATCTAATCTCCCGTGGAACACGGTACGATACAAAATTGGTAGAAACTACCCAATGGCCACGTGAAACTGATGGAGAGAATATAGACTGCTGGGTATTTAAACGTGACTGTGTGGGAGGTTCCTACTATCAACGAGGTATCCCCTAGGAGCAGGGAGGCCCTAAAAAATGCCGATGCAGCAATTATCCTTTTTGATATGTGTAACAAAGTTACCTTGGACCATGTTCCTTGTTGGGCGCGTAAGTATCTGGCTCTTGATTTAATTATATTCACTGATCACTAAAGATTTGCAGATGAGCTGCGTTCGTCTACACATGATTCTTTACCCATAGTAGTATGTGGGAATAAGGCCGATCAGGCCGAGAGAGGCCATTACAGTATACAAAATACAGTCCAGAGTGAATATTACGAAGTATCTGTCTTGGATAACTCGAATCTAGAAGAGCCATGGTTCTACCTATTTCGAGAAATTTTCAAGGAACCGAACCTGGTAGGCCTACCCAGTTTGCAGGGTTATTTTGTACTAACGATGGTCCTAGCAATCTGCTCCTACAACTTGTTGCTTGCCTGCTATAGAATTCGACGAGGCACTTGCGATCCAATGGCAAGCGGAAATGGAAAGAGCTGCGAGAGAACCCCTCCCAGACGACTCAGAGGATGATTCTGAGTTATGATGCGGATCATTGGGAGAATTCCGAGATAGCTATCTATACTTCTCATTCAACTAAGTTAGCATCAAAAGAAATTTATGGCCTATGTGTCTAGGGTCAATGTTTACGCCCCCACTGATCTTCAGTAGACCCGATATCTAGACTTCTAGTTTGGCGTGAAGCTCGCAATAGTCCCTCGGTTCGACCATGCTACATAGAATTAAATGTCCCCATATGCGATAGAGTGCTTTTAACCAAGATAGACGGTATTAAATATTATATCAAATGCCGCAAAACACCGAGCAACCCCGGGCCAATCCAATACTATCATTTCTTGACTGCATCTACAAAAATTCGCGTCATATCTGGATTCCAAGCTCCAGCTCACGCTATACTAGGCAAATAAACTATCTTACATAGATTTCGCGGCAGAGCCGCATGTACGATATTGGGAGAATCCAACTTGTCATTTATTTTTGGTTTAAAAAAATAAAATAAAACAGTCCGTGGAATCCTTATTACCCAGCCGATGGGTTCTAATTTATACCACCCAATGGTAGAGAAAGATGTCTTTTCTCGTTCCATGCGAATTTATAGGCAAATGAGCAGTTTTAGGTTACAAAATTCCAGAAGGGCAGGCAAGCATTGAACATTGCTAGCCACATACTCCGTGATCAAATTCCGACCCACTCCAACCCGGTAGGCCGATCTAAATTTCAATTCACTGCATCTTACCCTCGTACACATACTTATGATTGGTCGAATTGAATGACCTGGCATGGAAGCAAACGAAATTAATGCTTTGATTCATAAGAGCCCGGGTCGGATTCTTTACAGTGTACTCTATATATCTCATATCATGCCCCACCACTTGTTGAGGCTTCTGAATCATTTCCGGAGGTTGACATCGCTGTCTACGATGACGGAAAAGGCGGTAGCTTCTTTTTTAGAAGAGGACGGAGGATTTCCGGATGATAAGATATTCGACGCACTCTTGCCCATCGCCCGTGAGCTTGATCACGTTGTCTTTCACGACCCTGCAAAAGACATCAATGCGAATTATGACCAGCTTATAACCGACGTGATTCACATGCGGCACAAGTTGAGAGAACAACTTTCAAGATTTCTTGATCCTCAAAATAACTCGATCTTTGCGGAGTCTGTGCAGATATGCACGCTGGATCCTGCGAACTACGAGTATGCTGTAGCGACATTCGCGATTCTGGCTCTTGGTGGAGCTGTTGTGCCTCTGCGTATGTGAACATTGGTATGATTTCTAGCAAAGAGATCACTGATAAGACATTGGGGCTAGCAACAAATACAAGCCCTGCGCTCCTTATACATTATTTACGGAGGAGCCCAGTCAAGTATATCCTTACGGGATCTGACTTTCGTGAACAGGCCAGCGAGTACCAGGCTTTTTGCAACCAGAACTTCCTGCCCGCCATCGATATTCAGCCAATTTCAATTATGAACAGTTGTCCAGAATGGTTGTGGAGCTTGCCTAATCTCAAGATCATGAAGGGAGTGAAAATTCCCGAATCTCGAGAGGGTATTGTTCTCTTTTCGTCTGGATCAACTGGCACCCCCAAGGGAGTCATTCACAGTCGAGATTGTATAGTATGCAACAAGCCCCGTTTAAGCCCCGAGGACAGGCATCTTTTGCATCGCCCAGCTAGCTGGCTAGGTGGAACCATGTCCATGGCCCGCGTAGTACTCGGAGGTGCCAGAGCTGAGGCTATTGACCCTTCTGCTCCGATAGAAGAGTACTGGGAACGACTGCGGACCGACAAAATCACCACTGTGATCTCAACCGTCGCATTATGGGAGCAATTGGCCAGGTACTATAAAACCCATCTCAAGACTCATCCCGACAGAGATAATTATCTCGCGGGAATAAGCAACCTGCGCACTGCTGTAATTTCTGCAAGTGTGCCAATCCCTTCGCTTTTGAGATTCTATCGAGAAGAAATTCATAAGCCACTCAGCATTACTTCGCGTGCGACATAGGCACCAGGAACTCCTCCCGAATTCGAAATCCAGCGATTATCGCAGAATTTCCAGGACGGAGCGAAGAAGTTGGGGATGTTGTCAACGTATAAGTAGTCACGTTGAATGTTGTATTCCAAGCCGGAGGCATGGATGAGAGCCTCGGTTTGTTTGTGGTCTCGAGGCAAAAAAGGCATTTCATCAACTGGTGCTGGATCATCGGCACCCACGAATGAAGTGTAGCAAATTCGTCGGACACCACACTCCTTAGCAGCGTCGATTACATTTTGTGCTTGTTGGTGACGACGACCGAATGCCCAAGTTGATATCAAGGTCACAGCTTCAGCACCGGCAAAAACCGCCCGAAGGCTGTTCATATCGTCATAGCTGGCTGAGGAGACCCTTGCCCCTTTATCCGGCCATTTTTCACGGGAAACCTTCGAGATTTTATCAGGGTTGGAGGAGGTGAAAACAAATGTGCTGTCTGCAGGGGCAATTTCCAATGCATAGGATGCTGCTATACTGCCAATGCTTCCCCCAACGCCAGTCAGAACTTATTTGGGCATTTTATGTAGAAGTCAAAATTATAGATGCGAACAGAAAAAAGTAGATATCTTCAAGGTTGCAAAGACAGAATTCGGCACAAGAAAGATTTTAAACAGAGAAAACGGTGATGTGGGGAGGGAGAGGGGCTGAAGAGGCAAAATAACAAGAACAGTAGAAAACTCCATACTAGCAGATCCATTTTTTATCTCTGGAGAACAGGTTGGCAAAGTGGATTGACGCTATGGGTTTATGTAGGTGCAATACTACGCATGGCCAATTGGGTTGTGGTTCACAGCCGCTGCCAGTCAGATCGGCTGCCATATCGGCACTTGACTTGCTCTACTGAATTGTCTACAAGTTCTATGGGAATAAATAGACATAGAGATATCAGATTCATATAATTGAGCTGCTGCAAAAATAAATTGTAAGACCCGCTTGCAACCTACAGATTAGGGTATAGTTTAATCTCTATGTGGTGGTCTTGGCGACAACTTCTTCAGGCCGAATCTCGAACCCCACATTATTGCCATTCTCACACATTCAAATATGGTGCTCCAAGCTCGTGATTCCCTCTCCAATTCATCCGAATGCTTGCAAGAATTTCAGATTCTATCCGATCTTCATCTGGAGGTCAATCGAGAGTACAATTCGTTTGAGATACCAGTTTGTTCAAAATATCTGATTTTGGCTGGCGACATCGGTCGTTTGGTGGACTACGAGGATTATCTTGCATTTCTTGAGAAGCAAACACGAACATTCCAAACTGTTTTTCTAGTCCTTGGAAACCATGAATTTTATGGGCTTTCGTTTGATTCGGCACTCGAGAAAGCCAGAAAACTCGAGCAAGAACCATCCTTGAACGGACGGCTCGTATGGCTCCATCAGCATCGGGTCGATATACCAGACAGCAAAATCTCTATACTAGGCTGTGTACTATGGTCTTATATCCCAGAAAAGGCAAAAGAAATTGTCAGTTCTAAAACCAAAGATTTCAAGCACATTGAAAACTGGACAACGAATCAACACAACGCTCTTCATAGCTCTGACTTGACTTGGCTGCGAAGAGAACTCGATAATATCCACCACGAAAAGCTGAAAGATCCCTCGGAGGCACGCTCTGTTCTAGTGATAACACACCATGCTCCTTCCTTGCAGGGAACTTCGAACCCCAAATATGAGCACAGTCCGTGGAGCTCCGCCTTTGCGACAGATCTCTTATCCAGGGATTGGATGGTGTCAACACTTGGGTTTTTGGACACACGCATTACTCCACTGAATTCAATACAAATGGGATATTGGCCGTGAGTAATCAGCGGGGATATACTATCTCGCAAAGTAATGGGCCAGTAGGGTTTGATCCAAAGAAGGTGATTCGTGTATGATATCGAAAGTTGGCGCCTAATATTTTTGAGAAATTGGAAGCATGTTCAAAAGAATTGGACCCCAATAATCCCCCAAACATGATGACAAGTGTCGTGGAGGTCCTGTGGACTACTAGTGGCCTTCGTTCTTCGTATTCGATTATAGAACTCTCCAATATTTTGCATATTCGACACAGGATAATCTTACAAATTCTACTTTTGAAGCTGGTGCTAAATGATCAGACATACGAGTCTTCAAAATATATATGTTGGGGTATGTTAAAATGGCTAATGACAGTACTATGTACAAAATGAGTGTCGCTAGTATCAAATCACGAGGGAAATATTCACCACTATCGTCAGCGAGTCCCGTTGAACGCCGGATCCTTGACACGTGTTCGCTGAATGGAAGTATTTGAGGCACGGCCATCAAGTAGCTTTTGACCAGGCGCAGGAAGTACAGGGGCACCGACATCTTGGCTGTGAGTCTCAAGGGCATCGAAGACATGACCAAAGACTTGGCGATCTACATCTGACGCCCACAGGAAGTCGAGATGCTCATACGTGGGGATTGCCTTCGCCGTAGTACCGCGTGGCAGTCCTCGAAGCATCACATTGATGTCAACGAGACTGTCGCTATCGCCGTAAAGCAACACGATGGGGGTTTTAATGTTGCGAGTCGGGTACTTCACGGGTTTATAAAAACGCTCGCTATCGACAATGCTGAAAGGGGCGTAGATCTCATCATCGTAGAATTGAAAACTTCTGTTGCGAATAATTTGGAACCAGTGTACGACGGACTTTGTGCTTGTGAACGAGTAGAGGTGGAGATAGGCGGCAAGCTTTTGCGTACGGGTAATGTTGCGACAGCGCCAGTTGAACAGGGCCGCCAGCGCAGTGTCGATGATGCGAACATATATCGGAGGGTAAAAGATAGTCTGCCACATCGTCGTCGAGGAAAGAATGCTTCGTCGGCCGAATAGCAAGAATAGAAAATCCGGGGAAGCTTTCATGAGTGAGTCGACAATCCGATTGCGAAGACCCGAAGGAGCCATTGCGGGAGCCAGCGCCACGAAGACATCGATTTTTTGATTCAACAGAGGATGAATGGAGAGGGTTGCAAATGCCTGTGCAGTTCCCTGAGAGAATCCAATGTACGATAATGAGGGCTGGCCTGTCACTTCGAGAATGTACTCGATGCTATTGGGAATATCGTGAAAGGCGAATTGATCGATCGAGAAATCCCAGAACTCATTTGAGCCGGGAGAATGGTGAACCGACTTTTTCGCATATTTATTGCCACGGTTGTTACCCAGCCAGACATCGTACCCTTTCTCCACTAGCTGGAATGGAAGGCATCGTTGCTCATCTGTCAGGACAACCCAAACTTCGCTCGACATGAGTAGGCCGTGGTGTAGGTAAACGACCTTTTTGTTGAGACCACCGGGGCCCTGATTGACCCTCATGCCTTCCTCGCCTTTGCGGTAGGCCAATCGATGTAACCCCAGTAGATATCCATCAGCAGTCTGGACGATATGTTCTTCCGCTTCATATCCGAAGAGTGCGCAGATGTCCGTAAAATCAGAGGCTTCAGCAACTGATCCAGCGAATATCTCCTCGGCGGATCTTTTTTCGCGTATCTCGGCGGGGAAAATGGTGTTGAAGACGGCCTTGGATGAGTCGTAACAGAAGCGAATGATCGGCGTTGCTGGAGTCACGAGTCAGTCGCATTTCTCAATCAAGGCCTGGAGCAAGAGCTTGACTCACGCAAACAAAAAGTGATAACATGAATGATTGTCTCGAGTACCACAAGGATCAGAGACCCGAAAAGTGCTAGGTACTCGAACCTAGAGAGTTTTGTGTTAGTTTGACACGAGCTGGCAAGGTACCGGGTACCTGGTAGACACACAAAGTACATACCAAAACAGTCTTCCAATAAAAGGAACTCGGGCCATTGTGAAATGTGACCCAGCCCACGCCTGTATAAATATGTTCAGAAAGGTCTATATTCACAGAGCAAAGGCGAATCGCAAACAGAGCGAGAGGGAGAAGGAGAGGAAGCTTCGAAGCGACGTCATGGGGGCGGAGACGGACTTACCTCATCCGGGGTTGACCAATCAGGGGGCGCACGATGGTCCGAGTTTGCCATTGAATTTGGATGCCGCGACTGTCCGTCCGTCTGTTTGGGCGCATTCACATTCGCATTTAAAGAAGAGGAAGGCACGTCGTCATGCCGGGCTCGTGTCAAGAACTCCGTGAGTTGCAGCGGTTCCCCCGTGACTGGCCTGTCCCAGCGTAACGGTGGATTCACTCCGAGTCGCATCATCTGAGTTAACCGCATGTCCACACTCTAGGAGACGCGGTGGCTCAATGCCTTCAGAATTCGGACTGTGTCATGGTCCACCGCAACAAGCCGGGGGACTGTTTGAGATCACCGAACTTTGAGACCCTCTCTGAGCAATGTCAGCAGCTGGGCAAGGCGTTTAACCAGTGCAAGTGAGTTGATCATACGGTGGACGTCAAAGGAGGGGACAACTCCGACACTGAGAGACAATTCACTAATTCGTGACTCTTTTCACTTTATAGGCGCAATCAGATCGACATGACCAAGCGATTCCGTGGAAATACACCCATTGCCGCAGCAAAGGAGAAGGAAGGTCGGAATTCGGGCTCGTCCGATCAGCTATATGCTGGTCGTCCAGCCTATACGACTGTCAAGGAGCTCAGCGGAGATGAAGTACAAATGGATCCAGAGAAGACCCGTGGGCTGTAAGAGTCAGGCAACTCGAAAAAGGACCGAAGATGATATCTCGTCAAGTAGGGTGGCGTGATGGAGAATGTCGAGATGCCCAAGGCTCCCTCGGTGTGCACCATCTTTCCGCAAGAAAACTACCTACTCTGGTTCATGCTGGCATGGTCTGGAGTTTTTTCTTGTCTTTGTTTTGAATACTACCTTTAGCAGCACCCTTGGCGCAATCTCCCAATCTAGAATACTCCAGAGATAGGATCTCATCATAAATACGTTGCATCACAGCATACTTCTACAAGCATTGAGTTTCACAAGCAGAAAGTTGATATCATATTTAAATTGAAAGAAAGGAAGAGATTTCCCTATCATCATTCACAGTACTATGGTATACAGGTTTACTGCGTCTTCTTGAGCTTATCAACAACAGGTGCTGAGTAGAGCCAGACAACAACAAACGCCAGGAACCCTCCAATAACCGACCACAGACCAGCAATCCAAACCCAGCCACCACTGATGGCCCAGCTACGTGGGTACTCGTCGTGAGCGAAATGACGCACAGTCACCTCGTGCTTCTCCTCGATGTTGGTAAGGAAGGGTCGCTTGTAGTTCACACGGAAGGAGAAAATGCCGTGCTGATCAGGCGTAACGAACTGAGCGCTGAAAACAGTGCTGGTCTCAGTTTTACCAGTAGGTTGGAGAGCCAGACGGTGGAAGGGCGACAGCATGGTAAACTCCAGCTGCAACTCATCCCCGGTGGAACCTCTGAAGGGAACCCACTTATCGTAGGCATATTCAGACATCTCAATACTGAAGAACTGTAAAAGGAATGTGCGGTTAGCATGAAGAAACATTATCTTGATACTGGGATTCACGTACAGTCTCGTTCTTGATACGGTAGATCTTAGGGTTGAGATCATCCACAGAAACCTCGCCGTTACTAGCGAGATGGTGCTCAATCTTGCCAACCTTCAGGACACCAGTTTCCTTGAAGGTCCATGCAGTCAATTGCTTAGCAAACTCGCGGTTGGCAGTGGTGGTCTTCTTGCCGCCAGGAGTCTTGACAGTCGCCGAGAACCACTTGTCCTCCAGAGCCTCGACGGAGCCAAGGATGGTGAGGCGAGCCGAGTTGCGGGACTGCAAAGCAGAAACAATGTTCAGCTGTGATCCAGTCGCCTCAATGTCATCGGCCGCTGGTATTTCCTCCTTCGGGTTGTAGGCGTAGGCGGTCTCAGGAGCGCGAAGGACGGGCGAGATCAGAGGGCTAGTGTTACCCAGGGTCTGAGGAGCAACACGGGGAAGTGCCAGGACACCCTCGCCATCGAACAGGGCCTTGACGTCAGGACGCAGAGGTCCAGGGCGGTTGAGGAGGAGCACATCGTGCTTCTCGGTAGCCGAGACGGTATCGTAGTTGAAGTGGTCGACAACAACGGCGGAACGGTCATTTGACAGGTGGATATCGACTTCGAGGAGGAGGGAGCTGATGGCGCTGGAAGTGGAGGACTTGCCAGAGAGAGCAAGGATGATGTTGCCGTCCTTGTCCAGGAAGTCCAAGACATTTTTCGGGGTAAGGTTGGGGCCGAGGCCTAGGAAATTGAGTCAATTGATAGCTATACATGGTGATACGAATTATTCCTACCCTTGGATTTCGGAGGGAGAATCAGAAGGTGGTCGTAAGCCCGCTCGCCATGCTCAAAGAGGGACAAGCTGTCGCTTTTGGGCGACTCGAAGGATAGATCGTAGCCGCGGCCTGGAATTGAGGTAAGCTTCGCCCATTCTCAGTCAAAAAGATCCAATTACCTTCCAGGTCAGACCACAATGTCGAGTAAGCGCTCTTCTCAGTGGACTCGTCCAAGACGACCAGCAGGCGACTGCCGGAGCTACTAAGAGCGTTGACCGCAGCCAAGAAGCAGCAGAGAAGCAACGAAAGGCACCACTTCATCTTGAAGGAATTCCGCACAGCGGATCACACGCCAGGCTAGAAGATGAAGTGAACGAAAAGAAAACGACCAAAGTGCGGAGGAGGGGGAGTTGAAGTTGTATAGATCACCCGAAAGGGCGACGTGTTACTGGGCCGGGCGCCAAGACTTTCTGGGTCGCATCTCCGAACTTCGAAGTTCACCTCTTCCCCACGGCCTTCCCGACTTTGAATCCTCCCCCGCCCACCACACCACACCTCAATCCCTATACCACTGGGCTTTTCCCGTCGCTTTTGATCCTCCCGGTCTCTGGTTGTGATCTACTCTGCCTCAGGTCTTCTGACGACCCCGCCATCCGAAAACTCCTCTCAAATTCCTCGTCGTTCGACACCTCTCGCAACCACAATGTCCCACCCTTATCTCTGGAAGCAGCCCGGCCGCTGGGTGCGCTGGGCCGCTCATGAGAAGCCTGCTATCTTCTTCTCTTGCCTGATTGGTATTTCCGGTCCTATCCTGCTGGCTGTCCTGCCTCCGTTCCGCCGGGCTCTGGGTGACTACGATCCTGCCCCCATCCCCATGTCATACCCTAGTAAGTGACATCACTCCCCTGGTGATTCTTCAACATCATCAAGGAGATTCTCCTGGGTGAATTATTAGTCCGAAGCTGACCACAAGCTTCAATGCGCACAGTTCCGTCCGGTCCGCGTTCACCCCCCAAGGGCTACGAGGACGAATAAAGAGATCGAATCATGTATATCGGCCCACTGAGAGTGAGGCAATAAAAAACCGACTCGAATCGTCTCAAATTTTGGAGGGAGTTGACTTGAATCGACATGGGAAGACGATCCGGGGTTTAGCGATGTCATTTGCATGTGGCTGGTTGCCGTTGATCGAGACCGGCTTTGCCTGCGATCGTCTTGATTTTTCCCGTGGAAAGGTGCTTTGATACCAATATTGCGTGTGTGTGCGCGGTCTTGAGATGGTCGAATCTCAAGATATTGGCGCTGCTGTGTATGTACTATGTTTTAGAAAGTGATATAACCGACAACCTTGTCGCTTTCCTTTGTTCAAGAATCCTCGCACATCCGCCATTTGTAGAGAGTAGAGAGCTATTGCAAGAGTCGACAATTGTCACACGCTCTCTCCGCTTGGCTATTGTCGTTCTCTTGGTACAGTACGAATACAAATGCTAGGTCTGGGCTGACCATTGAAAGACAGCTAATAGGTCAACGAGTTCCTGGGTGTTCCCACTGTTCATATCTCTTCACTGATATCCATGGGTATTTTAATCAATTCCTAATGTATCATCAGCACACTTCCTATGAAGTGGTGTTTGCATAATAGTCAAAAATTTCAACAGGCTACTACATAGAAAGTTCATCGGGCCTTTCGAGCGCTACCATGGACTTTCCTACCTGAAATATATTGGGCATATTCACATGTGAGGGGGCGGCGTACTATTATTCTTCATTCCAAGGTTTATGATAGTAGCTTTCAACTTGAATGACCAGGCCAGCTTGGAGGTGTCAGAATAAGTGTCCAGGTGAGAAATACTGTAAAAACAGTGTCCGATGTGCATTATTATGTCGACATCTATTACCCCCAGGGCTTCAGGGCAATGTTATCTCCAAGTTCAAGTTAGTGCTTGTGTTTAGAAGGGAGTTGATGTGCCGGTGATTCCTCCTCCAAACCTTGGAAACCTCCAATTCTTCTTTGATTCAGACTTCAAGTTGTTTCCTAGGTTGTCTGTTTGTGTTGGCTATTGGTAGTTCTAACGTAATAGTGTGATAAAATGCTTACGTCGGCTGTTGGCCAAGGTAACAAAGAATGGTCCGATAGCAGGGCAAAACTCGAGCAACATATTGCAGTTTTTAGAGCATAATTTTACGAGTCCAAAATTTATTATAGAAAGGCAAGAAATGAATGAAGAAGGGTTCAATTATGTTGAGAACCAATCAAGTAATGAAAGCATCATCCACATCACAGATAAACGCCGTAAATGCCCATATCTACATGTAGGCTCATCAGTATCGCTTGACCAAAGCAACTTTCCCAGTAGCCACGAGGAATGAAAACACATGAGGGAAAAAGCAAACATAGACCAGGCATGCCTCCACCCCCACAGCAGGCGAGACGGGGCAAATAAGAGGCGGGAAAAAATAACAGTTGCTAAAGACCACAATTCCTGTACACCGTGAAAAGAAAATCGAAAAACCGAGGCAAAGCATTGGATCCAACATGGCTAGTATCCGGGAGAGTCATAAAGAATAAACGAGCTCGAATTCAAGAAAGCCACCTTTCCTAAAAACCTCAGTTCAACGCAGAATGCTCCGACTCCTATCCGGCAAGCTGCACGATAGCGCAGGGTATTAAAACAGAGGAAGTCCCTCCAGAGAGACCAGGCTCGTCTTGATGAAAGATGACCAGTGGGTTTCCAGCGGAGGTCCAGTCCGGCCCATGGCAAGGCAAAAATGTAAAGGGCATTCAATGTCCGACGGATCGTCGAGAGTGGTCCCGAGGGGGCCGCACATAATGAATTCCATGTCCAGAATGGGAATTTTCCTGGGCTAAATCCAAAAGCAAGCAAGGACAGAGGGGGAAGTATTTTCGCGGGGTTTCAAAAGGGCGAGAGGGAGTTGAGCCGATATGGTAGAAGGGGAGAGTGTCCAGGAGAATTTTGTGTTCGTCGACATCATTATGTCCCAGGATTGAAGTATGGTCCAAGGAGAATAAAAAGTAAAAGAGAAATAACTAATCATCATTCCAGTGGGCCACAATGCTGGGGAAGAGAGGAGTCTCGCACAAGACAAGGGTCGGTATACATTTCTGGTAAATTTTTTTGGGGGTGTTTTTTGATTTGTTTTTTTTCTTGTTCTTCTTACCGCCGACGATGGGGTTCCCGTTCGCGGGCTGGCTGCGGCCTACTGCGCTCGTATTCCGGTGTGTATCTTGGCTCCATTCCTATCCGAGGGTCTGGGGCAGTAGTGGTAGGATACGCCATCCCGGAAGTCACGGGGGAATAGTCCGACTCGGCATCATAACCAGGTCCTGGGTATCGGGGGGCATTTCGGCCACCGCCCTCGTAACCGTAGCCAGTGTTCGAGTAGGTATAGGAAGAAGGATGCATATCAGCAGCTGTCACAACCGGCTGGGATGAGCCAGAATAGGAGACCTGAGGCGGGGGGGTATGGGGCCTGGCCTGATCCGTATGGCGAGTGTGTGGAGCTGTAGGAAGGGTTGTTGTTGTAAGGAGCACTCTGGGATCCGCTGTACGGACTCTGGGAGTAGGGGTCCATGTACTGTTGTGCGGGAGCAGCACTGAAAGTGGTAGGGGAAGGCCCCTGTTGTGGTTGTTGTTGCTGGCGAACCTCATGCATGCCTGATGAGGCATAGTTCGCTGGGACAGTGTTAGGGGCATGAGAAATGTTCATATCTTGAACGTAACTACCTCTCGGATAGCCTAAATCAGCCCGCCGGGACACGTCCGCCTCCCAACGAGCGGAGTCAGCTTTCAAATCAGCAATCATCTCCTAAATAATCCAAAAAGGTCCGCTGGTTAGATGGTTCATTCTTTGGGTCGGTCTTCAGTCTGGTTGTTCGAATTTTGCACTTACAGATGTGAGATTCCGATAGGCACGGATGAAGAAACCCGGGCGGCCCTGCGGAATAGGTTAGTCTAAGCGCCCGAAATTACGTGTTTTAATCAAAGAATAAAAGGGTGAGACGGACATTGTGGTTTCCGGGTCTCACGAGAGCATCATTTCCAAGATAGCGACAGATATCTGCTTGGATCACCTCGCGGCTGATACCATCGCCCGGAATAAAGTATTCATTTTGACGGCCTGTCATAGTGTATCCTGAGGAAATATCCTGTGATGAAAGAGCACCTCAGGTCCGGCTGGGCCAATAGAGAAAATGAAAATTCCGGGGAGAAGATGAGAGTTCCTTGGAGGTCCTTTGGGAGATTGACGGCAGATGGTTGGGCTCCGTTATATTGGATGAAAAAGTACAGGTTTCTTTTGTCTATTGAGCGACCGGGAAAGAGTCCAAGGTCGGTCGTCAACACTTTAATTGACGAGAAAGTTTCGAAATCCAGGGAAGAATGAAGAATCGACAGAACAGTCCAGGGAAGATGGCCTCAAGAGAATTAATGGATCCGTAGTCGGAAGAATAGCAAAATGGTGTCCTTGGGAAAATAATATCCGGGAAGTCCTTGGGTTTAACAACTGGTTGTCCGGTAGTATCCTTTGGGTTATATCCAAATCAAATCAACGTGGCCGAGCGACTGAATCAAGTCTGCGAGGCTGGACGATGACAAGATAGAGGAAACGAAGAGAGACACAGAGAGAGGGGGGTGAGATCCTCTGGGCTGAATATGGTCACGCTATGAGTCCGATCGGAGGGTCCAAGTGGGGGGTGATGCACACGGAGGAGGTCGGGAAGAAGAGGTTGGAGAGTGAGAAGAGAAAGGTTGAAAGAAGAGGGGGGGAGAGAGGAAGAGAAGAAGGGGAGGGGGGCGAACTAAAGTGGGTTCAGAGGGCGGTTGGGCCGTCCTCTTGGGCTGGTGCCACGACTCCCCCCACTATCAAAGCAAAGCATGCACGGTCGAATACGGCTTAGAGGATGTGCAACCCTGCCTGTAGCCGCCTTGTGCGGTCTCAGAGTCCTGACCCTGGTCAGGCACACATTTTGGTACGGCTACGTTGAAAAAGGGTCGATCCCCCCCATCAAATTTCAGCTTGGATTGCTACTCAGTCTGTGCCCTCTTGAAGGCTGCCGGTTGACCCCACTGAGCCTTGATCTTTCGGAATCTGCAGTGCCGATAGGACGAAAGAGGCAGATAGAACGAGAGAAAGCGGTCAACCAGGTAGGGCACTAGGTGTTTAGCGACAAGTAGGGCGCGCGTGGTGAAATGTACTCTCTCGGGGACCACCCTCCGAACTCGTGAGCAAGTCCAACGTTGGACAAATCGGGCCTGGGAGGGTTGATCCTCTTGCGTCTGCAACTTGGAGGGCAGTAAGGGCCAATCTGCTCGTAGATCGAGAGTAACGAGCAAAAAGACGTTTGCCACCAGTCAAACCTGGCGGAGTAGGGCGTTGGGCAGGAATGCGTGGCTTTGGGCACCGCAGGCCGCCACTCAGCGATCGCCCGTGTCAGCGCGCGCTCAGATCGAGATCAGTTGGTTGGTCTCGACTCGGCAGATCCTGCACGAGAGTGATGTGACCCTGGCAGCGCCGTCATTATGGAGGTCCACAGATTGTTTAACGAACAGAGGAGGGGGAAAAATGAAAATTAAGCGTCTCTTTTCTAATCTGACGAGATTTGACTTTGAACCATGTGGAATGGGTTGCTCGCAGCAGGTGCTTTGGGGATGTTGTGGATGTGGTTGCTGCGGGTGGCGAGGTGGTGGTGATGGTGATGATGATTATGATGTCTACGTGGATGGAGGTTGGAGGTTGGAAATTGGAGGTTGGGTCATCTCATCGTGCCTTCCCTACATTGGTACACCCTGTAGAAAGCTCCTTCCCGCTGAGCAAGTCTAGTTTTCGTGTCAACAATGGATCCATGGTTCCAGAGATCCACGTGACTAACCTACGCATGAGGCTAAGGTCCGAACCACGTGCCCGGCGCTAACCCCCTTCGGAATGATTTCTCAAGGACCACAGTCACGTAGACCTCGCGTAGACCTGCGGGAAGACTTCACCGAATTGAAAAAAAAAGAGTCTCGGAGGGTTTGAATTGACCTCTAGAGTCGCAATGACGCTGCACCGAGCATGTCGCCTGCAGATTCGCCCAACGCGTCCCCCGATGCCGTGAAACGTTCCCGCTATACCCTTCGACAGCTCCATCTACTTCGCCAGGGCTCGACAGCCACGCCGCTCCGCGCGATAGCTCACATCGACCTTGATGCATTCTATGCGCAATGCGAGATGGTTCGTCTGGGGACGGACCGCGATACTCCACTCGCAGTTCGCCAGTGGGACTCTTTGATCGCTGTCAATTATGCTGCTCGACCGTATGGCATCACTCGCATGGTGACAACTGCTGAGGCCCGCAAATTGTGCCCGAATATCGTCTTGCAACATGTCGCGACATTTCGTGAGGGTGAAGGTGGTCGATGGGCTTACCGTGATGACTCCTTCAAGAATATCCGAACCGACAAAGTCTCACTGGATCCGTATCGCGCAGAATCTCGAAAGATTCTCAAGACGATGAAGGACGAGTTAGAGCGATGGTCTGCCGACAGTGTGGATGAGGAAGTAATATCACTGACACAGGGTCTATCCGCCTCCCTGGAGAAAGCAAGCATCGATGAAGTGTTCATTGATATGTCGCCCTTGATTTACCGCGTCTTGCTACAAAAGTACCCTGAGCTACGACAAAAATCGCAAGACGATAATCGAGACGCCGACCTTCCGCCACCTCCAACAACAGCTATTCCATGGCATACTGGAGATTCTCTCATCGAGCTGGATAAACATGAGAGGGAAGAGGATGATCCAGATTGGGATGATGTCGTGATGCAAATTGCGGCCGAGATCGTTCGATCGGTGCGCACTGCCGTATGGAACCAGTTGCATTATACCTGCTCCGCTGGTGTCGCGCGAAATAAGATGCTTGCCAAGCTTGGCAGTGCCTGTAATAAACCAAATGCACAAACAATTGTACGAAATCGTGCTATTCAGTTCTTCTTGAACGGCTACAAATTCACACAGATTCGGATGCTTGGTGGCAAATTGGGCGAGCAAATCACCTCGGATTTCGGTACTGAGCAAGTGAGCGAACTGCTTAGCATTCCCTATGAGCAATTACGCGCAAAACTTGATGACCACACGGCCAACTGGCTCTACGGAGTCATTCGTGGCGAGGATCGGAGTGAAGTCAATCCTCGAACACAAATCAAGTCCATGTTATCGGCCAAGTCTTTTCGTCCAAGTATCAACTCCGTTGAACAGGCAGAAAAATGGCTGCATATTTTTGCAGCGGATATCTATGGCAGATTAGTGGAGGATGGCGTGCTTGAAAATAGACGCCGTCCCCGGGTCATTACTTTGCATCACCGGGTCGCGCAATCTCGATCTCGCCAAATTCCAATCCCGGGGTCGAGTAAGATTGACGAAGACTTGCTTTTTGATCTTGCGAAGAACTTGCTTCGACAAGTCGTTGCAGAAGGACAAGCGTGGCCTTGTTCGAACCTATCCTTAAGTGTGAGCAGCTTCGAGGATGGCGTGAGCAAGAATAAAGCAATCGAAGGGTTTCTGGTTCGGGGCGATCAGGCAAAGTCTATCAGTCAGTCTACAAAACCCCGTGGAGCTGACAGCACTTCCAACGAAGTCCTCCCGGCAGAGAAAAAAAAGGAGGATCGACGATGGCGGGATCAAACGCTTTTTTACTCACTCCCCCTTCCCGGATGATTCGAATTCGGCACCTGCCGGCAACGAGAGTCCTCCGCCAGCAGATCAGGACTCATCCAATACACCTTTAGGCGATTTTGAGCCTACATTACTGCAAAATACCTGTGATCGTTGTTCGAAAGTTATACCAGAGTATGAACGGGAAGAACATGACGACTGGCATTTCGCGAAAGATCTGGAGCTTCAAGACCGACAGGAAGCGATGTCTGCACAACAGCAGTCACAGCAACAAACCCCCCCCAAATAGCGCTAGGGGCTCGGGCTCTAGCACCCGTGGAAGAGGTGGCCGCAGCCGTGGCAAGCCTGAGAGAGGACAAAAACGACTTTTCTTCCAGTGAACTTGCAGCCAAATCCAAAACTATGAGGTCACTAAGTTGGCAGTGGCCGATCTGTATCAAGATTTTTATCCAAAGACCATACTGTATCACTGTGGTTTAAACTATGCAAGACACATGTTGTCAATAACTATACGCTGCTGTCCTTATTTCCACGTGCATTCTTATAATCCTTGGTTCGACCCGACCAGCCAACCCCGCTCCAGAGCCACGGATAACACCCCCGGTTCTCCAAATTCAATTCCAAGTAAACAAAGAACTAGGTAGAAAATAAATATGCGAAAGATATACCAAACTACATCCAAGGCCATATTTCCCTTCCACATCAAGTCAGCCCTGCCAAAATTCCGCGCCCAACCGCTGATCGTGCGATGCGATGCGATGCGATGGTCCGCGTGGCTGTGACATCAGCGGGTCGTGGGGTCATCGGGCATTTCCAAGGGCTGAACTTGAATGTTGCTCAGCCTCCACCTCCCGTTTGCTCCTCTACTAGTTACTCTACTCTGCAGTCACATTAGCTCGTGGCTGATGAGTTCCCCTCTGTGACCAAACTTCCCCTCTTCTTATCCTTCTATCCTTTATCGTCTGAAGTCGTTGTCGCCAAGCTTGTTCAACCTAGATATGCTTTGATCGGCAGTACTTCGCCAAAGCCCCGCCTTCGCTCGATTTGACCAATATTCTGGATAGTAACCCTCATCGCGCAGGACACTGGCTTTTGGACCCAGTAGCCATTTCGCCGCGAAGAGTATAGTCACGAGACTAGGCCAACCTGACTTTGCCCAGGACCCAATGACCAAGAGCTCCATCCTCGGGAATCCCCTCAACAGCCCCGAATTCCTGCCCATATCTTGCATGAACGCCTACCCCACCAAGTTCCCGAGCAGCGATTATAGGTCAAACTCGTCCTTTGGAGATACCTACGGCTCGACAGAGAAGATTGGACTCACGAGCCCCTGTCACGACCAAATCCAAATGATCTTTTGCCCAACCCCCTCCAACGTTTCTTCGAATACCCCTCACCGCTGCCATGTCTCGCCGCGCGCCGCCTCAGGACTACTACGAAGAGGATGATTATGAATATGAAAGAGAACGATATTCCCGCCCACGCCGACGAGGGCCTGAATTTGACGAGGATGTGGAATTTCGCCGTCGGCGATCAATGCCACCGCCTGAAGACATGGAACGGCTGCGGACCCGGGAACGACCACCGCGCGATATTGTACAGGAAAGCTTCGCACAGCCGAGAGAAAGGGAGCGGATGGCCATGCGGAGATCTAGAGATGCAGTGGACGAGGCTGTTCGAGAGGTCGAGCGCGAACCTGACGAGCTTTACATGCCTTCGCGCCGGCGCCGCAGTCATCGGTCTCGCGAGATCGAAGAGGAGGAACTCATTGCCGAAGAACGAGATAGACGTCGTGGTCGTAGACCTCGAGAAGTCGAAGAAGAACTGATTTTCAACGAGAAGGAAAGGCGTCGTGGGCACCGCCCAAGAGAGGTCGATGAGGAAGACCTTTTGGTTGAAGAGCGAGAGCGACGTCGCGAGCGTCGGCCCCGTGAAATTGATGATGAAGAGTTGATTATTGATGATAGAGAACGGCATCGTGGTCCACGTCGGAGAGATACAGAAGAGGAAGACCTAATCATCGAAGAAAGAGAAAGAAGGCGTGTCCCGCGTCCTCGAGACCGCGCAGAGGAAGATTTGATTATCGAAGAAAAAGAGAAACGCCGCATGCGCCGCCCTCGAAGAATGAGCGAAGATGACCGCGTGTTTGAGGAGAGGGAGAGACGCCGTGGCCCCCGACCTCCGGACCCCGAAGAAGAATTCGTGGTCCACGAAAGAGAAAAGCGTGATAGGAGGCGGCCTCGGCCAGACCGGGAAATCGAAGAAGAGGAACTGCTCTTTCGACGCAGAGAAGCACCAACACCCCCAGGACAAGAAATCGACAACGAAATTTTACCGCGCGCAAGAAGCTTCGAAGAAGATAGAGATGAACCCTTGGCGAGATCCTCAGAATCTCGCAGGCGACCCCGACCACGCGGCATACAGGTAGAAGAAATCATAATTGACGACAGAAAACGAGATATCCCTCCCCATGGCGGGAGAAACCGTCGAGACCCCAGAATCGACGAAGAGATTATTATGCGGTGGAAAGATCGACCCTCTCCTCGTGAGCAGGAAGAGGACGAAGAAATACACATCCGCGAGACAATGCGACACAGACGCAATCCACCAGAACCTATACCCGAAAGAGAGCCGCCAGGGGCATTCCCAATCGAACAACGAGATGACTTCCAAGATGGTGTGGCGGTTGAGGAAATGACGCAAAGACGCTCACGCTCAAGACCTCGTAGAACAACAGAAATTGTAGAGGCGGCTGAGGAGATCCCAATTCACAAGGACAAGATATCCCCGCCTCGAGATCTTTCACCAGAGCCTAGCATACATGCGCCTAGTATACATGCGCCTCCTATCCATCAGGATGTGATAACCCATCATCGACATATTGATCACGGTATGTTTTGCTGATGTGTCCTGCTCCTGCCTGTGCTTCCACTGACAAAGTTCCCAGGATTTGAAGGCTCCCGCATGCCGCGTGCGCCTAGTCCAGAGATTTCTTCCACAAGAACTAGTATTGACGAAGTCGACGTTCGCCATCGGTATGTCACTAGAATCCCGTGGCATTCTAATTGCTAACCAGCCTCCGTAGAAGTACAAAAGGTGGTCGCAAATCCGAGGATGAAGTTGTTTTCAAGCATCGCCACGGAAAAGAGGAGGAGGAAGAAGAAGAAGAAGAAGAAGAAGAAGAAGAAGAACAAGACGAGGATGATAATGACTCGGTTTCTCCAACCAGCGGGCCATCTCTCGAATTCTCCAACCCATGGGATATCAGAACCGCCTCTTCACGACGCAAGCCACGCCCGTTTGATGACGAAGGCATCTCCATGGCCGCAGAAACTGCGAATACCCGTGGGCGACGGAAGCTGCCTCGTGGGTTCGAAGGTAGAAAAGAAATCGAAGAGGAAGAAGAAGTCGAAGTCCATGAGAAGCGTTCCGTTCCTCGTTCCACAGCTGGGCTCTCAAAGGGCACTCCCGACGAATGGTCTGCAACCGATACCCTGTCAAAGATTGATGCGGCCGAGATGAGTGGAGCCTTGAGTGTCATCGAGGTGGCTCCGAAGCACGCAGTAGAAGAAGAATTGGAGCGTGAGATGGAGATCGGCCAGCAGGTAGAGAAAGAAAATCGCGATGAGCGATGGACAGAGATTACCAAGGAGCTGGTTGTTCGAGAAGCCATTGAACGACTTGGATATGAGTTTGAAGAGACCCGGAAGCATTACTATGTGTTCTCCTTCCTTGAACAGGTACGGCTTTACCATCTTGATCCGATAGAAACCAAGCGAGAAGCATGACTAATACTGACTCTGCTTTAGCGAGATATTGATGAGCTAATTGAGCTCTCTGATGAGATCCGAAGCGCGCGGCGGCGGCGTATTCGTGAGATGCAACGAGAAAGGACGTCTCTCCCACCAGCACCTCGACCACGACGATCTTCATTTGCTGAAAGGCTTCCAATGCGACCGCCACGCGTGACTGGAGAAAGACGGATGCGAGAACGAGAATGGATTATTGACCCTCGCCGCTCGGGCCGATTTTGAATGGTATATATGAGTTTAGGAATCAATGAAATGAAATAATGATGATGAACATGAACTGGATTACTTATAAACTAAGCCTGAACTTGAAGCAATCAAAAATAAACAGCAGATACTATATACTTTATTATTACTTGATGAATTCCATTCACGCAGGCTGAAGTACCGTGACCTAGTAGTACTAGTAGTTTTCTCGTAGGCCTAGGAAGGTACCCTTTGTCCATTGAAGCTCGCACCTGCAGGCAGCGTTTGGCATCATGATTGCCTCTTCCGGCACCCGGAGTATTTGGAGTGTTTTCTTTCTAGACCTCGTCACCAACCCTACTCCCTCAGATTTCTCTCAGAAGAAATCAGACTCATAATGTGTGTTTTTACCTCCCACTCTTGCTTTGATTCCCAGATTCTGATAGTAGTTAGGCCATTTGCTTATATCACACGCGGCTTGATGAACCTGCCAAACATGACTTGGCATATGAACATGCCGAGCAGAAGCAGGACTCCTCAACCCGCGATGACTGGAGACAGTTCAAATACCGAGATACCTGAAAGAATCACCCTACTGCGAGATCTGGCCAAGGCCATGGGAAAAGAAAAGATCTCGACCTCACTCTGGGCCAGCCTTCAGGTGTGCGACCTCTCAAAACTGGAGTCCCTCATCGAACTCGTCTGCCATTCACCAAACTCCACTATCGATTTTCTCAATACGTGCCCCAACCTCCCAAAGAGATGGCTCGAGGACCGATCCGTCCTTCAAAGCATTGCCTCTGGTGCCTCCAGCACATCTCGCGACAGCCTCTCCAAATGCATGCGGATTGTGGCCAGAAAACGAGACGGCCATCGCTGCGTCTTGACCGGCACCGCGAAAGTCTATCAGCCGGTTTGGATATTTCCAGAGATACTCGCACGGCCGGCTTTCGATTTCGATGTTCACTCACTAGGACTATGGCGATTCATTGACTTATTCTGGGACCCCGCTAGAGTGCAGCGATGGCGCAACGCCGTCTTTCATAACCCCGACAACGCACCGAATGCCACCAGTGGCTGCTCAAGCCTGATATGCTTGCGAAGTGATCTTGCTTATGCCTTCTCAGTCGGGATGTTCGCTTTACGTCCTGTCCGAGTTTCCCTTGACAAACGCGAGTTAGAGGTGGAATTCAACTGGCTGCCACGGGAGAAACACCGATTCAAAGACGTGGTGGGTATTCACAAGCAAGCACTTTCCTATCAAAATCTGGAAAGCGTGGAAGGACTAAGATTCTGTGCGATGGGCTCGAATGAGCCAGTTAAATCGGGTCATCGGTTCCGACTGACAACGGATGATCCTGTAAAGCGACCACTGCCAGATTTCGACCTGTTGGATATGGCCTGGCACCTTTCGCAGATTGTGGCTATGTCATCGGCGATCGAATTAGTATGTCATGAGCCAGAAATCTCGAGAGTCCAAAGTGATGATGATAAGACTGTGAAGGATGCTTCCCCGTCACGACGAACGTTGTCGAATTTTGATACTACCCAGCGAGTTGCGGAGTGGCTGGCAAGCGGCACTGGCGAGCGTTGAATTAATATGTCATGAGGCGGGAAACTCGAGAGTCCAAAGTGATGATGATATGACTGCGAAAGATTCTCGGTCGTCACGACAAATGTTGTCGACTTTTGATACCCAGGGAGTTGTGGAGTGGCTGGTGAGCAGCGTCGGAAGAAGTTGATGGAAAATGACCCGTACAGTGCATATCAGCTTGCATCTTCGTCACAAAAAATCCATACACCTATCACTCACTCCTACTAGAGAGTAATGGTAAACAATATTTTTTCTTCTGCACTTGCATAAAGCTCTGGTTCCATCACTAGGGTTTCTAGATCAGGAATGAATTCACATGATACCACATGAATCACACCATGAATCACAACTTCACTGCAAACTAACAGCATGTACACTGTGTGCTTTGAAACTGGCTGCACAGTGGGCTCTTTGTCTACTTTTGACCCTGTAAGATACTAGTAAAAGTGAAAAGTCCATTGAAATCTGCACAAGTGAGACATTTCTCTGCCGGTGAATAAGACATTTACTAGTACTATCTTTCCCACGCAATATGTAAACCCCAAATCTTTGCCAATAGATCATCAAAGTGGTGCAATTGGATTGCATTGGAAATTCGGTCGTTGCTGGTAGTAGAGAGTTCAGCGTTCAGCTTCAAGTTCTACCTCATCCCAGAGCTTTAGGGTCAAACTAGCATCATGATGCTTTGCGAACTTGGACAAATAATACTACATCAAAGCCACTCATAGACAATTACCGTAGTTTAGTTAAATTCAATTTATTTGTTATATACCGTGAGAGTTTGCTCCTTGGAGTCCATGTAATTGGTGGGATACACAATATCACGACGAAATACATAATGCTTGACCGATAATTTTAGCCAGCATACCGTGTGAGTATCTTATTTCGAGGATCACCTCGGCTATCATCCCAAGCAAGGAAAAGCCATATATAGAATTTGTGTTCTACAAATAGCAACTCGGGATGTCTCATCCTTGGCTACTCATCAATTCCGAGACATTGACTCGTCAAGATATGAAAACCTTGGAAGTGAGTAACGCGGTAGCAAGCACAAAATTTACCCCTTAGCAGGCGCAGCTGTAGGCATAGACGAAGGCGAAAGCGAAAGCGACCCGGGTTGTAATCGTACTAACACCCGCCCTTTGACGTGTCGCTCAAGCCTGCAATTAAGCATACTCCTGAATTTAGCAATAAGCCTCATAAAGTTAAGGGGAAATCATTTAGCTCCGGTTTCATCTACGGAGTAACTACGGAGTACTCCGTACCCCATACACAAATATGCATCTCGTACATACCGTTGCGCAAATGCCGAGGAAGCTAGCAGGATATTCTTGGAAAAGCAAGGAAGGAAGAAAAGGAAGCCAAAAAAGACGCCACACGGTGGATATTGCCGCATTCGCGAATCAGGACCACAGGATGATTCCAGTAAGGTCTAGAATTGCAAGCCAGCGGGACGCCGCGCTGCCATGCTGGTTACCAGAGAGGCATGTATATTGTACTCGTACCTGGCAGATATGTACTACTCCGTAGGTGGACGCATCCTTCTGGGCCAGAATCGGATCCAGTTTGGTCCATCCAGGCCTATTCAGGCCCAGTCAGGTCGAGATCCATTCCATCGGCCGGACCCCAACGGGCTGGCACGGTCTGAGACGCGAAGGATCTGACGGGCGATCATCGGGCATCTGGGCTCCATGAATTTCAGATGAGGATCCATTCTGCTGCAATGAAATGCATTCTGGGACGACTTCCCCTGGTGCGACCCGGCTAGGATTACACATACCCCTGCCGCCACCCGGGATCGCTGTGGGTGGGTGTCTCAAGGATATTAATCATGGCGTGAGAAGTGGGTAGTGGAATTTTTGAGATTTATGTACCGAATTGAGTGGACACCTTGGAAATAGACAGTTGTTGGGGTTGTTAGCCAAGCAGGTCAGATTTCAGGTTGTCTGGGCGTCGCTGTCCTCCGTCCTCCGTGCAATGGATATGCCTCCGGCGGGTCTGGGTCTGGGTGCCCCGGGAAGTTTCGAAATCTCAGTCTGAGAAGAACGAATGATAGGGAAGAGAATCAGACGGGTGGACTGATGAAATGTGCGATGAGCTCAGAGAAGATGATCGGGGCTGGTCAAGGATGCATTGGGTTTGCGAACCACGGTGGTGCAGCAGTCTGACATGTGCCTGGTCAGGATCGATCGATCGCTACCCACCCTCCATTACAGAGGTTGTAAGGTGCATACAGAGTACGAAGAAGTACAGTAAGAATTGTTCATTTTGTGGTCAAACCATCCTGCGACCTGGCTAATTTACGCAATTTACGGTGGTGGGTCGCATCCACTCGGTGCCCGCTGGGATTCGCCGTCAGAAGGCTGATCGCTGCATGATCTTTGGCTGTGTTTTGAGCAGTACTCCGTCCTGGATTGGCTGGTCTGATATCAGATAGCAGAGCACTCGAGGATGGATCCGCTATCGAGGATACACACAATACCGAAGAAGGAAAGTTTTCTCGGCTACGGGACTGGCACATTCGTGGACGGCGGACGGAGTATATCTCTTTGAAAGAAAGGTGTGGTGGCGACTCGGAGCTTGGACAACTCGACGAGATACATAAAACACCAGAATAAACTTGGTCAATGGGGCAATGGGGCCGCGGCACCTACACTGCACTGCCGTCACATTCGGATAGGCTTTCCCCCCAATGGATGTACTCGGACTCGCTAACGTCGGGGAGGGGATGGATCGGCCTGGTGTTTATGTTTATGCCTTGATTTAGTGCAGTCAGAAAGTGACTAGGATGTGAGTCGACCGAAGCCAATCGATGACGACAGCGGAAGTACTTTTCCACCTGGTACTTTTTTTTTCCCCCTGCCGTTTCCTCCCTCCCTCCCCGAGAGGGTGCAGGCTCGGGTGGCTTGAAGGGACAGGGTTGATGGCAGGCTTAACTCCGAGCAGCACAAAAACAACATCGTTGAGAGAGAGAGAGAGAGAGAGTGTGTGTATGTCATATATGATATTACATGGTCCATACTCGTAGTAGATCAGCTCAGCCCAGCTCTCTGAAGGTGTCTCGAATGTGATGTGGCGGGGAGGGAAGTGGCTTTGGCGCAGCTTCTGAGACAGCAACCTCCCCACTCATTACGTAGGCTTCCTCTTTTCCCCCTCTCCTTTTCCTAACCCAGATTAGAAGGGTTGCACGGCAGTTACACCTAGAACTTTCTGTGAGTGTGACTAGGAGAGACTAGAAGAAACAAGCCAAGATACATGGCCATAGCCATAACTACAATCACCACCATACCATCAAGAAAAGAGCTCAAAATAGGCCAAGTATGAAGGGTGGAATGCCCTAAGAATTCCTCTCATTAAAGGATGAGCCAATGTAATGCCGGGCGGTGGAGCCAGTTCGCCAAAATTGGTATTTGGTTTACTCGGAAATCAACAATCACAACTGGCCGAGATACGAGTAATGTATACTCGTACTTCAACCGTCGCAGTGGAACAGAGTCCAGTCGAAACAAGTGGAGAAGGAAATGACAGTCAACCCGGTACTCGTAGACTCCTCGACTCTGAAAGAATCGATCGAAGAAGGTGAAGAACAGGTGAAGTGTGTACTCGTCCTCCGTACTTTCAGTAGTCCGTACGAGTACTCCGTACGAGTACTCCGTACTCCGTAATGATTTCCCAGTAATACCAGGACGTGCGCAAGTCAAAAAAGTATCCACTCAGCTAGCGGCATTGCCGGGATGTGCGCAACGTTGGCATTGGCATTGGTGCTGTGTGGACTCTCGGTGGACTCGGGGTGGACTCTGGGAGAGTTATTGCTGTTGCTGTTGCTGTGCTCTGCTCTGCTGTGAGGTCGGGCCCGTGACTCCCGCCCTTTCTCCTCTCCTCTCCTTCCCATCTTCATCGATCTCCAATATTCACTCCTCCTCCTTCGACTGCCGACCGGAGAGAGATGATGTTCCCTGGTTACTAACCCATCATTATCGTTTGGGCACCAGCAGGCAGACAGGCAGACAGGCAGACCTCGATTTCCTCCCGTCCCCTGACCACCCCGTACGTTGTATGGGTGATCGACACCTTTCCCATTGGTCGGCACACACTGCCCATTTCGAGTTTTTGATCCTATTCCCTTTTGCGAGTCGACAACCTTCGACTAGACAGGTCGGGTGGAATTGAGAAGTGGGAAAAATTCGACAAGAAAAAAACAAAAAAACAAAAAGAGAATACCAAAACATCGAATTTCTATCGAATCGACAAAAGACACCCACGAACGGCCACCTGTGACCAAATAGCCACAACCGCCATGAAGTTCTGGCATTTAGCCTCGGCTTTCGCCCTGCTGGCAAAGCCATTTGTGTTGGCTGATCTCGCCTACTGTGCCACCGACAATACTGGATCCGACTACGACGCAGGTAGGCTATATGAATGTCAGAGACGAAAGAGGGCTCTATACTGACTGGTGCATAGTCTCCGATACCTACCAATCAAATGGAGCCTGTGAGACGACTTGCGCTAGCTATGCTCTCGGTGTCCTTCAAGGGAAGAAGTGTTGGTGTACAAACGTTGTGCCCTCGAAATCTTCCCAAAAGGCTACGAGCAAGTGTGACACTGGCTGTCCTGGATATCCCGCCGACAGCTGTGGCAGTGCTGCAGATGGTGTCTTCGCCTACGTGAGCGCCGGAAGCAAAAAACCCACCAGCACTGAAGGTGGCTCTGGTGGAACTTCCACCACCTCGGTATGTGTCCCTTCCCCTTAGTTCCTGCAGAAAAACCCACTCGCCTGCCCGTCAAGTCGAAATACCCTTCTTGGTTCTCTGTCTGGTTCATATCCTGGGTTCTGTGCTCTTTTCACAGAAACAGCTCTCTTATTCTTTGTTGGGACAGGGAACCACTAGCGGTACATCGACAACCACCACATCCTCTCAAAATACTACTCTTGTATCGACCGGATACCCATAACGATGCCTTTACGTTTGATTTACTGACTTGTGATTTCAGACCAGCTCAACTTCCTCCACCACGACCACGGGCAACATCGTCAAGGAGACAACATCAGCCGGTGAAATCAAGACCATCACAGTTGCTGGGTCAAGCTCTACTGCCGGCGCGGATACATCCAATACACAGGCTAGCGACGAAAAATCTGGCCTCAGCGGTGGATCAATTGCCGGCATTGTCATCGGTGTCTTGGGAGGACTGGCCTTGCTTGGTGGCATGATCTTCTTGATCTTCTTTTATCGGAAGCGCGCTCGCTCGGCTAGCCCTGATTCCTAGCAACGCGGATATGGCAGACAACCGAACCAGTCAAGGATCCAGCTTCGTCAGAGGTGTTTTCCCCCAGGGTAGCGATGGCGCAGGGAACGGTCTCGGTCGCCAAAACACCTATACCGACAACCGTATGAAGAATGTCTACCAGGGTCACGCTTCCCGAGATAGCAGCGTCTCCCTGCAAGATAACGAGGACTACTCCCGCCCCGTCCTGCGTGTAAGTGATAGCTGATTGTCTCCTGGCTGAAACGATATCTAACATTCTTCCCCAGCTCGCTAACCCCGATTAAAACCGGCTCGATTTAACCTCTGGTTAATTCTCCAAACGTTCGCTTCCCCCTCGACATATCGATCTCCATTAATTCTGTTCGAATTCGCCGCAAACAGCTCCGTTATGATACCCAACTGTCACTTTGAATTATTTCCTTCCCATTCTATTACGGTGACAGTGGAGGACGACTGTGCCACTCGAGACGGAAGAATTTCGAAGAGCCGGGTCCCGACAACGCCATCTACCTGCAAACAACCCACCGATCCGAGCAAGAAGAGCACACGAAGGATCTTGGGAAGAAAAAACCAGAAAATTTATCAAAAAAAGGGTTATCAGGACACCGATGGTTTGCTGTCGAGATGAATTCATGAGCAACATACATTACCTTTTGCATACCTACCGGCTGCCGGCGCCAGCTCGTGTGATTTTCTTTTTGCCCCGAGTACATACATATCCTTTCTACCTCCAGTCACCAATCTGCGTCATACCTCAATTTCCTTGATTATCGTTTCCTCTAATTGTGAAGTGTCTCAACCCTCTTGTACCATTCAGCCAAATTCTGCTTTTATCTTAATTCACATGTCTAGGCTTCTCTGTGAGCTTGCTGCAAGGAATTGAATTTCAGCCGATCGTTAGACATGTTGTGCCCATGATCAACACTACTAGTAATTCCACCGTGGAGAAATTAAATTGGACCATTGCCAGTGATCGTCAGGTCGGATCTCACCTGTAGATCTGTAGATCTAGGATGCTTGGCGTTTGGTTTAGCCCGACCAATAATGCTTACTTTACGAGTCATATTTTCAGGCACGAACTTCAAGGTGGAGATGCTAGTATCTTTGGGGAAACTCGGGATTGACATGGCACGTAATGTGAGGCTCACGATCTCGTTGAGGGGTACGCAGTGCTACGAATATAGTGAACTTGATAGACCTCGGCTCCAGGAAGGGCCAACCGCCAAATCTAGAAATTCTCATTCCACTACCTGGCTGTCGCTGCAACCCTTTCGATTACAGCCAGCACATCTCTAGGCTTAGAAAGCTGAGGACAATGTCCCGAGTCTACTCTAACAATATCAAAACCACCCAAACGAGCCATCTGTTCTTGCCAGGCTGGAGGCACCGCCTGGTCCTTTTCGCAGAGAACATACGTTTTCGAGCAGCGAAATTCAGACTCAACATATCGAGGGTAGGTCTTGAGAGCCTTCGCTGACAGCTTCTTGAACAATGCGTCCCATTCAGCATCGGCCTCCTTGGGATCGAGCCCGGAGAAGAAAAGTGGCTTTGCACTTTCTTGGAGATGGGCAACGCCATCCTATGCATGTCAGCAATTGGTAATGCTTGCTGTGTTTCACTTTAACGAATGAAACAACCCCCGCATCTTTCTTACCTTGATAACCTGATAAGGCGGATTCGGAATCTCGTCTTCATTTCCCATAATATTCTTGCCAGGGACGGGGAACGCAAACCCCGCTAAACTGATGACGCCAACAATACCACCCTGCAAGCCTTGCTCAGCGCGTTCGGCCAAGGTAAGACCCTCCACAATCACAGAGGTGGGCATAGATCCATAGCTGTGCGAAACAATCACAGCTTTCCGTCCCTTATCTAGAAAAGGGATCAAGAGCTTTCGAACAGCCGCACCGTCATCGAAAAATGAGGTTTCGGGATCGACTTCATCCCCGCAAACGACCAGGTCGATGGAGATCACCTCGTAACCTTCGACCCGGAGAAGACCGATAATTTTTCGGTAGTGGATTGGTCGGTGAAAAGCGCCTGGGACGACGAAGATGACTGGTTTTTGGGATGCCATGATGCTAACTGTATACGAAGCATTTGAATTCGAAGAGTATTGTGTTTGTTTAAATCTCCGGTGTAATGTCGGAGTTGGCTTTTAAGTTGATGGAGGATTTGTAAGATTATTTCGGGGGCCTGAATCATTGGCTTTCGCGGTGCTTGCCTAAACGAGTAACTCAAGACAGTTTGTGGCTTTCGACGCTATCTTAGGGACGGGATCTTAGGCGGAGGAATGTCTTTGATACTAGAAAATTGATTCAAAAAAGTGCTGATTCATCGAAAATGTTCTCAGCAGCTAGAAACTGGCTATGTAGCTTATTGGCAATCTTCCGTAAGTACTTGGCGTTCCTTCATGGTCATTGGGCCATTGCCTAGATGCTGACCGAGATATCTCGCCAGAATATCATTATTCTCTATACTTGCTGGATCTTGAAGAGGCGAGCGCAAACCGTCTCAGGGACTCCTATACCTAGTATACCCGTAGTATAATCCCAAGTGGCCTGGGTTTCCAAGCGAGCTGGATAGAGTAGCTCCAGCTTGCTTTCTGGCCAGCCCTTTGCTGCATTGATAAAAATATCCTTCGTCGTAGGCCCTGCTCTGCGCCAAATAGCAACATAGACAGTTTTCTTGTCCTTTGCAACAAGGCCCAAAGATACCCAGTCGCTGCTCCATTTTGGGAACCCAAGAGGCCAGGTAGCATGTGCCGTTTTAACATCATCGCGTATCATCTTGTAAACAACCATGCCCTCTTTGACTAAACTCAGCTGCTCTGAGCTCATCTTGTCCACGCGACCGCTGAGATAGACACGCCCAAGGAGGCTGTTGACCACAGTCAGTGCGTTGATCTCATCGCTCCATCCTGGCTGGGGATAAGCCCAAGTTCCGCTCTGCTCTGGGGTAACTGCAGTTGGCATTGTTGCTGCGATAGCCGCATATAGTGCCGGGTCTTGCTGATCGCTGGTCGATTGAATAGAATGCACGGCTAGCATGGCGTAGTCAAGACGCTGTGCACCACTGGAACAGGTTTCGATGACGAGGCCGGGGTACTTATCAAGCTGAGAGCGTACCCAGGCAAGGTAAGCTCGTTGATGCTCAAGTTGTGCAGCCCGTGCGGCGGAGGGACCATCTACATCGGTTCCCTGCATCACCTGGATGTTGTAGTCAAATTTGAAGAACCCAACACGATAGTTCACGACAAGATTATGTATGACTGTATCCATCCAGGTTCGCACTTCGGGATGGCGGTAGTCAAGTTGGAAACGGCCCTTTTCAATTATACGATGGCCGTCTTCGTGGAAAAATGCCTCTTTGGGGAGACGGTCGCCAACAACACTTCGCACGCCCACTACCTCAGGCTCCAGCCAAAGTCCGGGAATGAGGCCTTTTTTTTGGATTGTATCCAAGAGTTTCTTAAAGCCCGACGGGAATCGTTTTTTCGAGGGCTCCCACAAGCCAACATCATCCCACCAGTCGCTATCGTCAGCGTACCAACCAGCGTCGATCACAAAGTACTCCGCACCCAGACTAGCAACAGGATCAAGAAGCGCTATGATCTTCTGCTCGTCTGGGTCTCCCATTAGACAGTTCATATAGTCATTGAAAATTATGGGAACCTTCTCCATATCATCATGTGGCCGCCGGATCTGCCGTCTATAGTCTGTGAGAGCAGCGAAAGCTGCCTCAACATCAGCACTAACGCGGCAGCAGGCAGTAGGGACCGAAGTAAAGCTTTGCCCAGGACTTAACAGCTTTTTCCAGCCGTGGTGCGCACCCGTCGGGCCACCAACAGCGAGGTATAGATTGTCCTTGTAGTCACCAATCTCCCACCGCCAGGATCCATTTGATTCTATCTGCCAAAGCCAGGTCTCGGTTTGATCTTTAGCATTGAGAATACCCATCGGAAGGTGAGAGCCGGTAGAATAAGAGCCGTGGGCGCTCAGACTAAAGGTAGCCTGGGAGCCGGTGTGACCCTCCTGAAGCTCACAGATGCCATTGTTATCGATTCCGAGCTCTGAAGGACTATACTCTTGCCATTGCGCTTCTCGAAACCAACTGTTGGTAGCGTACATGATTTTGTATTTGTCAAAACCCCGTGCCAAAGTATTTATCATGCCCCCAATAACGAAGGATGAAAGACCAGTGAGCATGACATTAGCGCTGTCCGACATATTGGTGACGGTCGTTTCGGATCTGACAACTGGTATACGGCCATAGATATGAAGTCGGGCAGTCACTTGGATTTCGGTGGCTTCGTCGCTGCATCTAGCTTCAAATATCTCGATTGGTCCATCTTTGTGGATTTCATGACAGTTGTACTTGAGTCTCATCGAGAGATAATTCCCAACCGAAGCTTTTGCAGTTTTGATATCTTTTGTTTGGCCTTCGCCAGCTAGCTTGACGCTAATCAGAGGTAGCTCTGCAGATTCAGAGGCTGGGCTTTTTGGTAAAGTGCCAGGGGGTAGGACGCGGCTCAGGCAAATGACGCCTTCTTCATTGACGACAAAATCGATGTTGAGGGCATCTGTGTGCCACTGAATAGTGTAAGGACGGTCCATTATGTCTGAGTATAATTCAAAACTGTTATAATCTGATCGTATAGTAGGACCAAGCTACAGGCGAGGGCAAGGTGCGGGGTGTTTCGATGCAGTAGGGAAAATTATACCCCTCTTCTCCTCTTCCTCGAAAATGTTTTAACCGGTCATGGGATCTCAAAATCGCAGGGATTTTATAGAATCGGACGCAAGGCTGAGATTACCCGGTGGTTGGCGTCTGGGGTAGCGGGGCCCGGAGAATCCGTCGGTGATCCTCCGATCATCCCCAGTTCATCTTCGAAGAGCTAAATTACGTAGAGCCAAGAGGTGGTAACACATATTTCCAACCGAACCAATAGTTTTGAATTATGAAGGGGCTCGAGAATTCTTGGAGAGACAAAGAGCTCTAGCTCGGATTGGAGGGATGTGACCAGCATTCCATTCCAGTTACGCCAAGGGTAGCCGGACCTTGATTTTGACAAAGAGATCTCGCGCTACCTGTGATAACTTTCAAATTTACCCGGATCCTCGAAGCATAAGTGATGGATCCTGAGCTGTACGATTAAGGTGTTAACACCCCGATACCACGCCCTGTCAGTCTCTATCCCCGCTACGACACTTCCAAGCGATAGATCCAAGCAAAACAAACGAAAATACTCAATGGAAGGAATAAACTGTGGCATTACGAAGAA